CAGGTCGCTTTTGAGTATATCGACTGCTTAGTCAAAAGGTAAGTGCTCGGAGTGAGTCAATATTGTTATTTGCAGAACTTCAGTGTTGCAATAGTGAAGTCCATGTTCCAAGTTATATGAGCCAGGCCACAGGAAAAGGGGTTTTATCACAGAATTTTCAATATTCTGATTTTTGTTTATCTTAAAAAGCACAAAGAGACCTTTCAAATGACCCATGGCTTATGTCTTAACAATTTTCCCTTGCATATATAGACCAAAAAGTCGGATTTGAATTTAGCACATTTTCCTCTTAATCTTGGGCACATTTTTGGCTCTGTAGCACAATTTTCATTTTTGTGATAAGACTAGAGGCTGACGGTAATTCCGGTTATACGGTTTCGGTACGGAATTGAGCATTTACCGGTATTGAAATTATTAACCGGTTAACCGACGATAATTCCCGGGGAAATAATAGACACGACGTTTTTTTAATTATTTCGTTTAATTTCCACTTTCACGATGCGTACATTTACATAGACCTTTAGATGTCCATGTTTGGCAGTTCAGGTGTGATTTCCACATCGCCACATCAGGATATTTTCCTCCATTTGCTTTCCAGAACTCAAGACCACAGGCTGGTATCGAAATATTTGTCCGCTGTGACGGAGCATGCTATTTTTCATAAAAACACTAAGAATACTTCACGATTTATTTTTTAACTCATATGTTTCGTTATACCATACAAAATTACTTACTCCATGCAATGGATATATCATTTGCGGGTAACTTTCACTTCTGTTTGAAGTCCAATTACGCTGGGAAGAAAAGCTATTGAAAATGGCGCCGGAGTATAATACTTCAAAATGTACCATTTCTTGTTTAACTTTCTAATGGCACGATATAGTGACACGATACTTTTTACACATGGTTTCAGCATAAATATGAAGGTATAAATGAGATGTTGATGTATTTGGTCTTTTCAATTCTTTTATAAAAAATAATGTTTAATTTTTTTGTCCGCTGTGACGGAGCAGTTGCAAATGTGAACTGTGAAAATGCTCCGTCACAGCGGACAAAAAATATTAATATTGTTTTTTATAAAAAAATTAAAAAGACCCAATGCATTAATATCTCATTAATACATTCAGAGTTATGCTGAAAACATATGTTAATATTATCGTGTCACTATATCATGCCATTAAAAAGTTTTAAAAAAATGGTACATTTTAGAGTTTGATACTCTGGCGCCGTTTTCAATAGATTTTACTCCTAGCGTTATTGGACTTCAAACAGAAGTGAAGGTTACACGCAAATGATATATCCATTGCATGGAGTAAGTAATTATCTTTGATATAACGAAACATATGAGTTAAAAAATAAATCGTGAAGCATTCTTAGTGTTTTTATGAAAAATAGCATGCTCCGTCACAGCGGACAAATCTTTCGATACCAGCCTGTGAAGACAGTCAATAAACTTTGATGCTGATGACAAATAGCTGTCCAATACCCCACCCCCATGTATACTGCACGTCGCTTGCTATTGTTCAGTTGAGAAATGGTTTGAAATGTGTAATACATTTAATTTAAAAATACGTCTTGATTCGTAAGATAGTTACATACTATTTCGTGACATTCATCAGTATGGGTTCAAATCGGCTCGCACCATGTATGCATATAGACTTGAGAAGCTACGGAGAGAGTTAGGAACAAAGTGGGGGTGGCAGCGCATTGGCATTTTATCTTACATATTTTTACCGGTATTTCGGTAACGGTACGGTTATTAGCGTGACGGTTACCGGTACTGGTTTTCAGCACCGTTGCGACCTCTAGATAAGACCGGTATTTCTATGGCCAGGCTCATATAATGGTTGAAGAAAGAATGTAAATAATATCGCTTTAAATGTTAAAATATTTAATATATAGTACAGGGTACATAGTTGCAAAAGTTGATCAATACGGGGTGTAAGGAATGTGAATTGTTAAATAGTATAGGGAGCGAGAAAGTAAGCTGATTATACAGAACGATTCGCTGGTTTTACACAAAAACAATTCTGAGATAGTCAATAATATACTAGAATCATGTTTTGTGCAATAGTGTGATAATACTTATAATAAGTATATTTTTGAACCACTAAATGTAATTGATCTAATCTTTATTTTCAGAAGAGTACAATAACAACTTACATGTGCCAATCATTATTTCTAATGCGCTTGATATCCTAATCTAGTGGTACAAGGAGCTGTATTTGACATTCAAAACCAGAATATAATGAATAATAGAAGGAATGATACGTTTCATTGGAGTTCATTGATGCACGAATGCATACAAGGGGGGTCATTGGATTACGTCAGTAGAATATTTCAAATGCTGTTATGACGTGCACGGACCTGGGGACAATTCGGGAAATACGGGCTAATCTCAGCTTTTAGCGTTAATATCTGCCTTATTTAAAAAGCTAACGATGTGTATTATATATCATTTTGAAGTCTTTTTTATTCGCATTTCACTGAAATTATTTTTCCTTGAAAAGTATGATGGGATCTACCATATTTTTTAAGTTAAATGTACTCCGACATCGTCAGATACGCTGTAAGGCGTCACATTTCACGAAACACGGTTCGTTGAAATCGGAATAACTTTTGAAATACTGATCAGAATTTTACTAAAATTTCACATTTTATTCATTGAAACATGTGCTTTTATGACGTCACAATTGCCTAGCGGCTACAGTTCAAATCGTCTTATATGAACGCTTTTAAGATTTTCAAAATTGTGTATGGTTTTGAAGGCGAAGGAGACAAGCAATAAGTTTACCTTTATTCAACCTTGCCAATATGTGACGTCAGTTTCATTATTGATATTTTTGCAAACTATTTAGCTAGGATGAAATCCGGTAAATAGAATGTCCAAAACATTAGAATTTTTCAGATTGAAAATAATCAAATCGGAAGAATCATCATGTTAGAATCGTAACAAAGACCTCGGTTCTATGATTTATGGCAAATATATGACCTCAAATTTTATTCTGTCCATTGCCAAAGACCTCAATCGCTACGCGATTTCGGTCTTTTAACAATGAACAGAATAAAATTTTCGGTCATATATTGCGCCATAAATCATAGAATCTCGGTCTTTATTCCTTAATTGTATTGTTTTTGTATTTTGACGCCATAATGTTACTCTAATTGTCCCCTGTTTCGTGCGACGTGTATGTATATATGAAAATGCTTGCTTAAAACTGCAAAATAACTTGCGGAATTTGACATATATTTGTATCGTGTTTATCGCGTAACCGTTACCGCTGCCATTTTGAATGTTGACTAGACATATTATAGTGCTGTACAATTAATGTTTTTGTAGGAAGTGGATTCATAATACTATAACTATGCTTAACCCATTTTTCACTCTGAAAACTATTACCAGATCGATGTACTGCCTATGACATGTTGAATGTCGGATGTTTTGGGGTGGTATCTACTCCAGTGATTTTGCATTTAATCATAAAACGCTAATCACCAAGAGTAAAAATGTTTCACAATATGCTGTGCCTTACGGCAAAGTAAAGATCCATTTCTGGGACGACTTTTTATTCATCTTAAGATTTTAGAAAAACAATTAATTCACAAAAATACAGTTGAATAACATACTAGAAAACATATCTAAATATAATACAATGACACGCGCACGCAGTTTAAATAACATTTAACTGTTTTTTTTTGTTACATACCAATTTCAAAATAAGTAACATTTTCGAAGTGAAACTTACACGCTCCCTGTATGTTAATAGATTTACTGAAATGTATCTTGTATTGCTTTCGAGTTTTGCTTCACTGCGCCCACTATTGTCTATCTTTGCCTATATGTTTTTTTGCCAACAATATTCTACAAACTGCTTGCTGAATCTATTTTATGTCTGGTAGAACACTAGAAATGAATGAAAATGTATTTTACTTTCAGAAATATATAATTAAACCCACGTCCTCCATTTGTCCATCCACTTAACTGTACCCTGTTTCCCTTTTAAACGTGGTTAAATATTTGTTCAGTATTTCGCCCATCTGATCAGTGAATACACAAAATTGAGTACACGTGAGATGGGATTCGACTTTTTTTTAAATGCAAATGATTAAGTCGAACCTAAGTACCATGGCCTGTAGCCTTTTCTTAATTTATCAGAAAATATAGTACCTAAAGGTAAGCTATTTTAATAGTTACAAGTTCGAATTATTGATGGGAACAGGTGTCGTATAGTCCATGGGACAAACCTCAGGTTTCTATTGGCCCGCTGTGAAAGAAATAGTGGTCCCCAGGGATTATGGTCCCCTTTCTTAACGGCCTTTACTGGCCCTGATTGCGTATAAGATTATGAGGGTCTAGTGGCTTATTTGTGTCCCTCGAGTGTATGTCCATTTATTCAGCTGTCATAGCAAAATTACAGGTAGAACTGATACCTACTAAGGTTCTAGGTACATAACAAGCGAGAATATATAGTGTATCTAAGAAGCAGTCGCCAAGGTCCGGGACCGGGTTGGATACACGCTGAAAATGTATGAGGTATAATGTACCTAGGATCTCAGTAGGTATGGAAAAAATCTGTATGTACGGTTGGTTTCGGATACAGAGTTTATAATCCCTCGGGAAATATGTGTATCTCCCCCGGTCGCCCTTATATCTTGTAATATCTCCCTCTGGAGCTTGCGTTTCATTAGTAAATAAGTGAGTCTTGTTTTAACGCATATTTCCTACTTGCTTCGATACACTATTAATGCGCTTTTGGAGGAGACAAAAAACAAAATTTAAGACTTGTAATATAGTTCCAGAAAGTTTCAGAAGTGTTACACTTTTTATAAAAAAAGAAATAACCTGTAATGGTGAGTGTAACGAAAGAAAATTTCAACGCGTCACTAGTTTTTATGAGGATTTGAGCTAATTCCCCTGAACGGAACTCTGGTTATTTATTAATGAACAAAAATCTTCGCCTTATTTTTAAGAAAACTACATAATATTATTTACATATATTCTGGTTTATAATTGCATCATTTCTTATTTTTGTAGAAAACTGCTTTTTATTATTGTGCGTTTAGATCTCCTTTTTGTGAGAGCTTTCGTTTATCATATCCGTTAAGAACAATTCCTGTAAAGAACAATAAAGTAATACGCCTGTGTGTATTAGTAACTGCGTTCCACGAGGCTCCATATTGGGTACTCCTTTTTATGAGAATATTTACAAATTACAGTTTTCATCAGTTGCCGTCATTATTGCCGATTTGTTGATCATTTCCCAACTTGTAAATTATTTTATGATGTTGATGTTGTAAGGACGCCTGAAAATTGTTTATCATAACTCGAACTCTAAAATATCACAAATTAAACGAAATAAGTTCTTTATATAATTTCCCATCCATCAGATTTCGTCATGTCTAATCTCCGTAGACACCCTCAAAAGCTTCTGAACCAGTCTTGTATTTGTAAAGTTGTCCATTCGAAAAATTAAACTTTCATCGGACACGACCTCGAGAATGTCAGATGGAATGTCTCTTTTTAGAACTCTGGTCGGGGTCTCTACCCAGATGATCCTGACGTCATTTTTCTTCATTTTAACTGCAAGATTCAGTGTTTTGACTCTCGATTTCACGGGCCAAGATCGCCCATCGCCAACCACTAGCAAAAGATTAAATGAGTACTCACACGGGACACTTTCAATCCCATCATCCTTCGCGACCCAGCAGAACATATTGTCAGCTTGTTCAAATGCTTGGTACGATCGGGTTTTACAATTTCGTTCTGTGATGTTAATACCTGCTATCCTTCCCGCCAAGGTATCATGATCGTCTTCTCTGCTCGTTGTCACGGTTCCGAGCGTAGCGAGAGACTTCGAAAACGTAACAACAGTAATTCGTGATTTTTCTAAAATCTCCAAAAATGATTTAAATAAGTCGTAAACAAGATCGATTGTTTTGTTTTTGTCTTCTTGTAAAATCGAACAGCTCATATCCATGGCAATGACGATATCGAGACCTGTAAATAAATATGTAAATTGCCTTTAGGACGTGATTTGGTAAAAATGCGAAATCACCTGATTTATTACCTGAAATATTATGTGAAGTAATGTGATGAAGTGGTGATGTAATGTTTTGAGGTGGTGATGATGTGATGAGATGGTAAAGTGATGATGGAACCACGTAATATCTGCTTTGAATGTGCTTATTGTGCCTTTTGCAAATTATTGACATAATAGACAATAAATAATGCTTATAGTAACTTATACCAAGTTCAAGTGTACTATTACAAACTTAATTTCTTTTCGAAATTATAAATTAATTAGAAAAGCAACACGATTTTCATCTATATCCGTTGGTCCATTAATCAATGGAAGTGGGAATAGAATGTACTTTTGTACAATATCAATTTCTATTTTTGCAGATGGATTTGATATGTTACATGCTTTCATTTCAATCTCTTAAATAATGATGTGCATTTACAATTTTCATTCATGGCTTATATTTGTAAATTACAACCTACATTTAGTAAATGAGAAATTTTAGTTGATTTAAATGATTTTATATATTTAAGAAATATAGACCGAAAAGCAGGGGATATATCGTCGAATACACCCCGCAGGGCTAGGCACAAAAGTTTTCTGTACCCCGAACGACCGAAGGACCATGACCGTTATGACGTCACACATTACACGTATTAACTGGGAAATTGATCTCGAATATAACCCAGTTGAAGCATTGACTTTGTTTACAATTTATAGAAGGCGTGAAGACAGTCATGTTCGAATCTCATATAGCGCTCTGATGCAATTCTAATGAATTGACGTTTGAGATGCTTTCTGCCTTGTTGAAAACATTTAATTTCCAAAATGAAATGAATTTCGTCATGTGGAAAACGGGTTTGTAACATCTATTAAAATCAATGGCATTAATTTAATTTCGAAATTTATAGACACCCTTTGCATTCGTTTGACAACTTTGCGCGCAGGGTAGCATAAACATTAACTTTAGCGTGAATTCAGTGTTTGCCAGGAACATTAAATGTAATTTAGATTTTATAAATTATATGATGATGAGCCCACATTTATTTAGACCGGGCTTTTGACTTGGTAAGGTTTCACCATGCATCACCCGCTCAGTTTAAATCATGCACCGTTTCTCGTACAAGATTTCCAGTGTCATGCCAGTGATGCACCCTCTATCACAAAATCATATATTCCCTACAGTGTATTGCTCCCTCTCTTCCTCCCCCCTTCCAGCATCCTCAACTCTTTCTCCCCTCTCAATCACACCCTTTCCCAGTGATCCATCCCGTGGCAGTGGGTTTGTTTACATTGGAATACGACTGATCCACGGAATGAATCACCGGGAAAGGTGTTCATAGCTCTCAATGATCATGGCATCTTCTTTTACACACTCTCCGATCCCCTCCTCCATCCAAAACAAGCATCGAGTGCAGCTATACTCACCCTCCGTCATATCGTACAACACATCGGAAGGTAACTCCGGTGTGGACGTGGTTGGTTCTTGCCCGCCTGCAGGAACAATCGGGGGTTCGGGGTCCTCTAACACTATTCGACCGGACAGCTGCTTTCCACCGTCCTCATTTGTGGCGTTCCCAAGCTCTATGATCTGCACTTGGTTGTTCTTTATATTATTTTTAAGTAGGGTCAATCTATCGATTATTGTCGATCCGTTTGATTGATTAACACACAGATAAAACAGTACTATTTCAAATATTAACGATTTCATTTTTGTCTATTTGTAATCCTAGCAAAATAAACGTTTATTGTTTTTATTATTTAGAATTTAGAAATTGCACCCTTAGTATATTCTGAACTTCTATTAACGATCTTCGTTGATCTACCAAAGGCCTTGGTGAAAATTTGTAAATCAACATTTAATTTAATAAATAATATAATATAATCTATTAAATCTCCGTTGCTTCTCTTAATGCTGTCTGTTTTGATCTAATCGAGTCTCAGGTCGGTTTTCATTTGGAGGTATCCGCATAGTTTCAATCACCATGGTTACTTGTAAAAAAGCGGACAATCAATCAACAATTATTTAAAAGTGACGACAAGAAAGCTTTTTTGAATGACCTCATTTTTCACAAGTTTGTATCTTGACATTTGTTGAAAGGCCAACAACTTAACCTGCAATATAACATCGTTTCGTGAATCGAAACTATTGCAATGTACGAATCTTTTTGTCGAATAAAACTTGCCTGGATCAACCTCACTGAGGGTTAAGGATTGCTATTTTGGGAGGGCGATTAAAAGGGGGGCACTTTTAAGGGGGGTGGGCAATTAAGAAAGGGCTGCACGTTTATTCATCTGGCCGCTACACGGTGTTCTGCTAAGATAATACAGGTTTTTCATTGACTCGCAAACGGCGGACTACTTATAGGCGGACTTTACTTACTCTAGTAACGAGCGAAATTGAGCCTTATAGCGCATGTCGCCATTTATTACATCCGATTCCAGGCTTTGCAGTTCGTCACGTTTATGAGCATTTTCCTGCGATTTTGGGCCTTCGTCAAAGTGAACCCCCTTGAATTTTTATGAAAAGTGGGTCCCCTTGGCAAAAGCTGGTTACGGACCTGGGTTCCTACGAGACTTTATTGAATATAAACTGAATAAAAACAGTTGTAATTGTGTCGTGTGTAAATGGAAAGAGAACCCAATTTAGTATCTTGCTAAATTTTAGGACGCATTTCATGTAAAATAAATATTGGGCAGGATTTTGTGATACGCAAAACAAAGAGCACAAACGAGATTATTCAAACAGTGGGTATCCTACTTTCATATATTTGATAAAAGTACTCAACCCGGTGTGAAAGAAATTATGGTCCCCTGGGGATTATGGTCCCCTTTCTAAACGACCCTTACTGGCCCTGATTGTGTATAAGATAATAAGGGAAAGAGTTGTATCTAGGTCACCATATAAATCAATGGAGAGTAGGACCATAATTTGATAGGACCTCCTACCCTTTTACACCTGCCTTATATTAAGGTTAATATTAATAAATGAGATTTTCATAAAATTATGATATGCACTCAAAATTGACAGAAACGGTGAATAATGGCATTTTCTCTTTCAGTCAATCTTTTCAATATGAAAAAGTAGAATGTCTTTATAGTGAATAATTGCTTAAAAGAAGTTTGTCATTGACCTTGAATTTTACAAACTGTGCTGCCAAACGTGCCAACATAAAAAAAAGAGAAAATATCAGTGTGTAATGGACGGTGCTGGGTCACATTTGCTCGATTTGTTGTTTTTTCGACACTTTGACACTTTAACGCTTGACACACTACAACCACAAAATGTTGTACCCGTAAAAAGATTCAAATGCGAATTCCCTCATTCACAACAAACTACCACCAGTTTAGTGCGCATGAAGGTGTGCCATGTGAAAACCTATTTGGACCTCCATAACATTTTGATCGTCATTTTTCAGATGGATGCAAAATAGTCTCGTGTGGGTGATTCAACAGTCGGGAAAATACCCTGGAAAACACAAGTGCTCAGGTTTTGATATACGTCATGTATATAGGTGTTCACCACTACACCACAAGTTTTCCTGTATCTAGATACTGAAACTAATAATCATGTATTTGAGTAGCATTTTATTCTACTTATATCAAATGGTAACGATGTATAACAATAAATATGAATATTTTTATGATTATATAAAGCATTTCGTGGATTATGTAGGGAGGTTGTATAGGGATATGGTATATGATATCCCCCTACATGCCCATACTATTTTAAGATCACAGATACATCATCATATTTATTTCAAATAAATTCAACATTGCTGTCGTTACATTTCACAGTATGTCTGAAATCTGCTTAATAATATATTTAATAGGACATGATTTTTTCAAATATGTATGAACTGATATTATGGTAAAAATCACTTTTTGGCAATTAAGTAAACACATTAATATACAGGTAGTCAATATAAGAACGCATGGTGAATATAACCACCCATGGTCGATATTATCACCCATGGTCCATATAAGCATACATGGTCAATATTATCACCCATGGTCAATATAAGCACACATAGTCGATATTATCACCCATGGCAAATGTTATCCCCCATGGCAAATGTTACCATTCCTGGTCAATATTACCATTCATGGTCAATATTATCACCCATGGTCAATATTATCACACATGGTCAATATTATCACACATGGTCAATATTATCACACATGGTCAATATTAAATTGATGTGATTACAAAGAAGAAATCGCACATACATATATACTGGTAGATATATATATATATCTGATGCTTTTGCACTTTGAAAAAATTACATGTGAGAGATATTGTTGATGTTTATCACCTTTATAATATAAAAACAAAAAAAGTGACTGCCAGTAAGAAATATGTATTGCTTGATATGTTTCATTTCAAATGAAACCTACTCCTTGTGAATAGTTATTTCACAATTGGTTTTTGCATTTAGAATAACAACAGATCCTTGGCATCAGTATGTTACAGCCTCTGTAAAAATTCCCTATCCCTATTAGCAATTAGCAATGGTGGGATAATGTTACTGCAAATTCCCATCATGCGAAATCTGTTAAACTCATAACATACAATTACGGATACCTGTTATCTGATTGGTTGAAGGCAGTTTTCAATGAACCAATCAGATTACAGAGATTATATTAAACTATATGCTATAAGTTTGAATATAACAAATTTGCTGTTATTCACAGCAATGACATTGTACAATAAACCATAAAAATATTTTCTATGTTATATATGGGTCAATGTTTATCGTATAAATAAAGAACTGAATATAAAAAAGTTCAGGTTTTACAGTAGATATATACAATGTTACTGGAATTCTATAGGAAAAAACTTTCAGTATAAATTGGACTTGAATAAAGTGTTGGACTTGCCAATTGCTGTATGAAAACAAACGTTCTAAGCACACAATTCAGTCAATGAAAAAAAAAAGATCAGTTTTTGTAATATTTCTCGACCTCTCATACACTGCATTTCTTAAGTAACCCTGTTCCGTCTTCACGAATCATAACATACAAATGTATACCTGCATATGTTCCGACCACTCAAACATAGTACATGTGTTCCGGGCATGTTTCTAATTCATTTAAACAACACAACTATGCAAATCTATAGTCTTGCATCAAGTCCCTTGACCCCCCCCCTTCCTATATACAGGGTGGTCCAAAAAAAAATTGGGTGATATTCTCATGATATACCAAATTAAAGATAAGTAAACTCCCTATCCACTGGTATGTAATATGACATGTTTTCCTCAAGAGAACCAATATTTATTTCTGAAATACGAGTGTATTTGGGACCATCCTGGACTTCACCACTTGTGGTAGGTGTGTAGTACGGGGTCACAGGGGCTTGAAGCTAGCTAGATTTAACACATCTATCATTTTCTTGAGTATTCACTAGAACATCTAAATATTTCACTTTACAATATGATTCTCTAATGATATCTTAAAGTTGAATTGAGCTTATCAAAATATTTTGAGCATCCCAAAATATACATTTTTTCTCAAAATATTTTGAATGTCTCAAAATATGAGTAGCCTACAAGTTTGTCATGCCCTGCTGTTGCTGCAAATCGAACACAATTCGATCCACCATACAAATACTGACCAATCAAAAGTTACGATAAGTAAATGTGAAACAATAACTTTTAACCAAGCTACACTTCTGTAATGCAATGGAGTAAAATAGACCCATAAATACATTTGTTTGAATATTCTACAGGGGTCCGTTTTTGGAACCATCGTAATTTACGATTTGGTCGCAAGTAATCGTTCGTCATAAAATAGACAGTGATTTTCTCAGAATCGTAAGTTACGATCATACCAAAAGTAAATCCCAGTATATTTCAAAAAAGAGATAGGTAAAGTGTCATTTCAACTTTTCAAAGGAGTTGTAAAGCTTTGTATGTTGAGCTGAGTGATAGATGAATGCTACATTATATATTCTTCATTCTCCATTGTTGTTTCCTATTCATCATCAGATTCCACGCCACCCTGGTGCTTCATCATAGCGCCACCTATGAGTCCATTTGCTGTGTTGAACAGGTTGATAGGGGTGGTGCCATCTGTTATCAGTGTTGACTTTAGACCCAGAGATCCAAGAAGTTTCACCTGAAAAAAGGATACATTATTGATTGTTGAATTGAATACTCTTATCTATTTACAGAGAAAAAATCTAAGAAGATTCTGCCAATATTTAGAAGTTCAGTAAAAGATGCAATGTAGAACACCTCTATAAGTGGAATACCTCCAATTTCCAAATACCAACTGACTTAATGTTAAATGAACCTCTATAAATGGAACACCTCCGAAGTGAAACACTTTTTAGATGTACCAATGGTGTTCCACTTAGACAGGTTTTGCTGTACTCTAAATCGATTAATGTTAGGTCATCTTATTACTTACAACTTAAAAATAAATTAACTTCATGAAATAAAAAGTTTTTGATTTTTGATATATTGCAAAAAACTGAATGATTGTAATTCACTATGAAAATTGATTACTCATTAATTTTGGGACAAATCAAGCAAAACGATTCATTGCATTCATTCACACAAAGTTTCGAACAAATTTTAAAAGTACACATGACTGATTCATGAGTAAATTAATTCTTATGAATTTCAAATACTCATAGTATTTTGCAACATTTTGCAAGCCTTCATTGTTTTTTAAATGATGGACTTTTTAAATTGATAAAATAATCACATTTTGGAGGATGACAGGAGTTCAATTTGAAATGAAAATAATAACATTTTGGGACACTAATTGGCCTACTTCCTATTTTTGTAGTAATGTGTTATTTAGTGATTTTGTTGCTTGTCATGTCATACATGCAATACTGCTACAGAAGATATTAATTAGTCAATTAGTTTCTTGTCATGATATACAATGCAATAGTATGGGAGGGGAATTAATCAACTAGAATTGTTTTTATTAACTAATTGCATGTCTCTAAGATCAGCTGTACGATAAGATAATGCACTATTAACAGGCCTGTAAGCCAGCTTTTGCCAAGGGGGTTCAGTTTTTATAAAATTCCAGAGAAAGCTCAATTGATAATAGGGAGTTTAAGCTTGCAATGTTTTAACAACCTTAATGTGAACGGAAAATATTTAAGCGATGTATGGGTGATTGGTCATACATATAGGTTGGCGTTTTGAGCTGAAACTCCCTAATATTGGAAGATCACTTGAAAAGTCCTCAAAATAGTGAACAAAATCTGTATGATTTTGAAATAATTTTTGACCAAGGCCAATATTTAACGATTTTCTTCAATATATTCACTATATCCCTACAACCATGGGATAAAACCCAATATCCAAAACCTGACAGAGAATATAACCCATGCACATGAACAAAAAAACACGAATCTCACTTTTAATTGCTAAAATCTTAACAAGAGCCTCACCTGCATTTCTGGTCCAGCACAAGCAATAGCACGAATAGTCTCAGAACCAATTGCATTAACCATATTCTTGAACTTGCCAGTCTCGATTTCTGCAACTTCACGAGATTTCGTCAACTCAAGGTCGTTCTGCTCTGAGAGATACTTAGTCTCTGCTTCGCGTGCCCTGGTCAGTCGCTCTAATTCAGATTCCTGAAGAAACATCAGATTTATTCAAACATCTACTTGAGTATAAGAAAAGTAAAATTCATGGTTCCTCTGAATAAAATTTTTTTTTGTATTTATTTCCAAAATGTCCATTATGTAATTTACCTAGCATGCCGGAAATCATATCTTGGCACTAGTCTGTGTTTGTTAAGTTGAATGGACATGTAGTTTTCCCTTGAATTTTGATTACAAGATTTATGTGACGTCCCCCCCCACACTCAACAGCACAAGATAATGACAATAAAACACTTTTTGCAGTGATAAAATAGACCAATACCAAATCGGATTCCTCTCAGTAAATTACTGTTTATCAAGATCACTTACAAATTACACATAGTATCTACATGTACTGTAATTGTAATGCTGCTAACCTGAAATAAAAACTCAATGAAAAAAAAGATCACTTACAGCTTCAATCTTCATGGCCTGTGCCTTAAGCTTAGCCTGGTCCACAGCTGCCTCTCCCTCAATCTTGGCAGCCTCAGCTCTGGACTGAGCTTCTGCTTTGGCCTGTCCAGTACTTTCAACAGCAGCACTGTGAGCCTGGAGTTGTAGGAGTTCCTTACGGGCTTTTTCTGCTTCAGCCTCGTCGCTGATCTTTTGACGTTCTAGACGACCCTTGGCCTCTTGCTCAAGTCGCTCAGCCTCGTGTCTGAAAAATAAAAAAAAATGTGCATGAGCTTCAATATTGTATTTGAATCCCAAGTCAATTGATAATTTGCCATCACCGGATGGATTCTATCTTGCAGTGACGTCACAATTAGGCCCCATATAGCTGTATGATTTTGAGAGATTATCTTCTGTATTTCGTACTTTATTGATCTATTTTTCACAAAAGTGTTCAATTTGACTAGATCAACATTCATTCTAAGCACATGCCAAGTCTGAGATCTTACTGACATGATTTAGATAGCGGTTAAGCAAAAATGCTATAGAATTCCTTTGCTCAGATTTTCCATTATACTTTTATCATATTATTTTATTTATCATATCCTAACCTGGCAGCAGCTTCTTGGGAATTGGTCGTAATTTCAATAGCCAGCTGTACAGACTTCATAAGAGAATCTCTAGTTCGCTGGTCCACTGGTTCGACACTTTGGATATCAATACTTGTGACATTTAGCTGGTTTTGGGGGAATGTAAACTTATTACGCACTTTCTGGTTTTCGTCAAATCCGAACACTGAAGATCTGATGATTTTAGCAGAGTTCTGAAATAAAATGGTAACAAATATGTCATGGATTCATAAATTAGTGACCGGATAATAAATCTATTTACCTATATTTTGTAGCTATATGACTTAGCTGTAGTGTACACACGGTGCCCATGTCAAGCTGCGCGCCTACTTAGGCGCGCAGTTTGCTTCGATCACAAACTGCGTGCCTAAGAACATTGGATCATTTAAGTTGGAGTCTGTATTTTGAAACGTTATTTAAAGACATTTATCCTGCATTGTTTTCTTGTTCAATGCGTTCATTCTGTGGCGAATATACGAATCTTGCAAATACTAGCAAAAACTGTGTGCAAATGCATCTTAGTTTTAAAACATAAGCAGATTAATGGCATTTTCGTCACTGATTTAATGGGAATTTATACGTAAATCGATCTAGCACTTTAAACATAAATGACAAATACTTTAGACTCGTTTTATATTTAATTCCTTACACATTTATCATGTTTAATTCAAAATATTTCGAAATAAAACAGATAATCAGGAGATTAAAAAGAAATAAACCACAAACTGCGCGCCTATTTTAGCCAGAAATTACAATCTGTGCGCATACACTATTAAAACTACATATTATCATTGGAATTTCTACAGAGGTACGTGTAGGTGTTTTCGATGTAGCTTTGGAAATTTTGCTTTATCGTCAGATCTTATGAGATTTTCATATTGAAAGTCAAAATGTATAATAGAAGTGACAATTAAGTTGGGAACGAAAAAAACATTTATTTTCAGATCACCATCTTGGTGGATGGACTCTCATAGTGTTTCAATTATGGGGTGTCATATGTGCCTTGTATGGCGCTTATGTTTTCTAATAATACAAAACAAGCTTGGATAGGCAAAGCAGTTTTGAAATATTAGGCACGCAGTTTGGGAAATACATGTGAATATAGGCGCGCAGTTTGACAAGAAAATGTTTAAATCACGTTTATGGCGTATTATCGTTTTGAACACAAACTTTGCTGTTTTAATCAGATGGAGTGATCCTATATATTCTAGCATACAGACACAATGGCTGAATAAAACGGCAAATGACGATAAAAAGACATAGATATAACTTTACACTGTAAATTTTGAACACAGAAGTTACTTAAGACCCTTATATTGAGACAACTAGGTTTACATCGGGAAAAACATTGAGTACTATGAGTAAATTAAGTTCATCTTCACAGAATGGTACTATCTTTAGAACGAGACTAACCTTGTATTTTTCGTATTTTGGCTCTTTTTGGGAGTCGTGTCCTCCCCGTCTCACATTTTGAAATATGCGCGCAGTTTGTTAGAGTTTCAAACTGCGTGCCTAGTAGGCACGCTGCTTGACATGGGCATCGTGGTACATGTAGCTGCAGTATATAGGTTATCGGAATGAAGTATAAAAGTCTCCAAAACACAATGTACCAATGTACCATTGCACTTGCAGCAGTGCACCATTGCAGTTTTGTAAAATCACACTGTAAGATATGAAATTTTATAACTTTCATTGACTGATGTCCTCCAATGTTGACATTTTAACATTGGAGGATTTTATCAATTTTATTGATAACTAGCTGGTCCATAAATGTCAATTTGACCAGCTTCACTTAGACAAACCCTGGTGTCCTCCAATGTTGACATTTTAATTTTATTGATAACTAGCTGGTCCATAAATGACAATTTGACCAGCTTCACTTAGACAAACCCTGGTGTTCTCCAATGTTGACATTTTAATTTTATTGATAACTAGCTGGTCCATAAATGTCAATCTGACAAGCTGCACTTAGACAAACCCTGGTGTCTTCCAATGTTGACATTTTAATTTTATTGATAACTAGCTGGTCCATAAATGTCAATTTGACCAGCTGCACTTAGACAAACCCTGGTGTTCTCCAATGATGCCATTTTAATTTGATTGATAACTAGCTGGTCCATAAATGTCAATTTGACCAGCTGCACTTAGACAAACCCTGGTGTTCTCCAATGATGCCATTTTAATTTGATTGATAACTAGCTGGTCCATAAATGTCAATTTGACCAGCTGCACTTAGCGAAACCCTGGTGTCCTTCAATTTTGCCATTTAATCTAATTGATAAAACAGTGTATACCTTATGGAACAAATCAAATGCTACTGATGCCACAGCTCCCCTCACTCTGGATGCAATGGCCTTACAAGCATCACCAACAAAGTCAGGGACACTGAACAACTTTGCGGCTTCTTTGGCGTCGGTTCTGTCGTTAATCTCAAAATGCCTAAAAAGAAGAGAGGACCAGTTTTAAACAGGAAAACTTGTGTTTAAAATGCCTACAATAAAAAGGGACTATTCGGAACAATCGACAGGCTAAGTAAACATTGTGAATAAAACCTGCCATCTTTAGCTGCACCAGAGAAGTTGTATGAGGTAAAGGTTAAAAACAAAATTCTAACTTATATACATTGAATTCAATTTGAATCAAAATCAGAAATTTGTAAACTTAAATATTCCTTAAAATGTCACTTTATCGGGAAAGCTGCACCAAAGGTATTTCAATGTGGGGAGGCTCTTACTAATTCACACAGGATATCCTCTGAAAAGTAAGTACTGTACCCCCGGTATTTTTCGCGTGCGATTTAGTTTCGAGCTTTTCGCGACTGTGTTAAAATCGGGAAAATTAATTTTCGCGAATTTCGCCAATTAAAGGCTGAGGTGCAACATGCCGTTGACTAAGACCTAGAAATTGTAAATCTTATCAAAATATGACATTGGGTAGGTCTTATTACTGTAGATAAGGTAAATTAGTTTACAGATCTTGAAGATCCAGAGAATAATGGAATTTAAAACTTTGAAATCCGCGAAATTTAATGGCCACGAAATTGGTATTTCTCAAAATTCGCGAAATTAAAACTCGCGGAAAACACCAGGCGTACAGTACATCAGCATCCTAAAATTCAAACTAAAATAAACATTGGCTTACCAGTTATAAGACAGCTGAAGAGATAGTCTAGCATGGTCAGATGTTTCCACAACTATGATATCTGTGCAGAAATCAGGTCCCAGTAGCAGACATAGAGATTTGATTACATTTGGTTTCTTGGGTTTGCCGCCAGATAGAGAAAGCTGAGTGAACTGCTCATCGGGTCCCAACATAACCAACTCAGGTCCAAATACAACTCTGGAAAGAATAAATAATTCACTTATAGCTGGGCCTGGTATATTGATCTATTCATAGTTGTTCTATATTTCACGACAGATGAATGGTTCATAAAGAAAAAAACTGTAAGGGAAAAAATTGAGTTTGCGTGGAAAGTATAGGTGCTTATGTAGATAAAAATGCTGAGCTTTCATTGCAAAAATTCTTGCGAAAAGGATTTTGGTTGAATCAAATTCTTTTTAATGATTTTGTTCAAAATATTTTGCTAAGTGTGAAAAGAATCTTAGCACGTCACTCAATGAATCGTGAATATTGAAAACCTGGTTTCTTGTATGCTTGCCTATGACCTTGGGCTCCTGCACCCAAGTTTAAAATCTCATACAATAACCTTGTGCTTAAAGACATGAACAAAGACAAATCGTTAAGTTTTATATATTTTTACAGTGTATAACCTGCATCAAAAATCTCCAATAACATAACCAAAATAAAGGTTTGCTACCAACCTTGCTTTTTTGTCTTTATAATCGTAGACCTGCACTGCTGCATTGTGGGGGACTCTAAACGTCACGACTCTAGTCTTGTCACGGACTCCACTTGCAGTTACTGAGGCCGTTGACTTTTCCTGGTACCTAAAACACATAGAAACGTATTGAAATATTGGAAATTCAAACCTCTATTGGAGTCCATAGAAAAATAAGCAGGATACACATTCATTACTTAGGATAAGGGATAAGGTGACAATTGACTGCAAAAATGTTCCAGACCCAGGCCCGTAGCCAGGATTTTTCAAGGGGGGGTTCAATTTTCCAAAATTTCCAGGGGGGTTCACATTTGATTATTTTGGCCCAAATATGGCTAAAATTACTTGAGAAGTGCTCAAAATAGGGGAAAACTGCCCGAACCCTGCGAACCCCCCCTGGGTATGGGCCTGAGACCCCCCTTAGAATAGTCTCTCCTTATATGCATCGCACTCTGATCCCTGTGTATTCAGATTCACATTTGATTTGGTGTCTGAAACACCAATAGTAACTTAAAGTAGCACCTGTAACACCCACTACCCAAGCCTAAAGCTGGTGCTCTTTATCATATTGTTTAGTGGTCTCTAACGAGTTTTATACAGATTCATATTTAAACGTTTACTGACATGTAAAATACTAAATGTTTACTGACATGTAAAATACTAAATGTTTACTGACATGTTAAATACTAAATATTTACTGTCATGCTTACACTAAATGTTTACTGATATGTTTACACTAAATGTTTACTGACATATTTCCACTAAATGTTTACTGACCTCTGTTGAGTAACAGGTGCTCTGTCTCCGCGGTCTGCAAGAGGGTCTTTCCCAGAAATCAACAGTTGCTCAACTGCAGGAGGGAGTTCCTTGGGCCATAATTCTTCATCTTGGTTCAACATGAACGTTTCACCTGTGATTGCCCGTACCTAAAAAATATAAAAATGTTTCAGATTTAAGCGTGGTTATCTGTTGTAAGAGATTCTGAACGTTAAACTGGGTGAAATAATACAGTTCAAATTTAATAAATTCACAAAATTAGTGAGCTCAATTGAAGCCAGTAGATGATTCCATAGGGATGTAATTAGTCCAAAATTGCAATATGATAAATGCAATATTTATTTGCAATTAAGAATAAATCCTTAAAAAATCAAAACTTGAATCTGCATTTAATGAAATTTCTGTCTTCTAATCGATTGACTATCCTTGTAATAATCAAATAAGACTATAAAAACATTTACCTTTCCAGTTTTCACGTCTCTGACATAGATTCCTTCATTTTCATCCAGTGGGATAGTTTGACGTTTAGTGACAACCTCTACTTCGACGACTGGTACGTATTCCTTTGGGCCACGTATCATCCATCTGTCTCCTGGCTGTCTGTCAACTTTCTGTGAAATACAAGAAAATAAAAGCTTGAATAAATCACTAAAATATATATCTTTTATTGACTCAATAACCATGTCATGTAAATGACATATCAGTCACTACAGTGTACAAAAAACTACAAACTACAACTACATACTACAAAACTACTTTACATCAGTTTCACATGTCAGGATATGATATCAGTGTGGTGATATACAAATTTGGCTAAATGTAAGTTAACAAAATAACTGCTTGTTTATTTTTGTATAAAAATAGAAAATTAAGGATGTTATATGGTCTGATGTTGGAGAGTTTTTTTGTTGAAACATCACTATATGTCTGTATGTAATCGATTCAAGAAAAGGATCTCCTTAACTACATAATTCCTACATACGACTGAACCAAACGAATCTATTTGGAATTCTTGAGATTTATGTTTCACCAAAAGACCCCAGATATCTTATTCTATTCAGCCCATCTTACAAAAAGCAAGTATGTAGCCTAAAATAGCTAGAAGCCATGCTGGCAACTGGTAGTCAGAAACTGGTAGATTGAACTCTTCCAGAAAAAGAAAACTTTTTAAAGACATTTAATTTTTTACTTCATAAGGATATTCTCTGAATGTTAAGATTTGACTTAAGTAGGACAGCCACCAAATGTAACACATTTTAAGATATGGTTAGTTATTGCAAAAGTGTAACAATTTATTACAAATGTGAACACCAAATGCCTGCATAAGGTTTGAAATTGTGTTATTCCCAAGGAAGCAATTATTTTTAAAAAGTGTGTCCTTTCAAAAAAGTATGTCTCCCATTACAAGCCTGTTACTTATTTTAAAAGCATTTTCACTGAAACACTACCTTTAGGTTAATTTCGTCAGCTGATTTTCTTTGTAGCAACCCAATAATAGGTCAGTAAAACATCATTCCAATTTTACGTTATTTACTTGTTATGAACTGACACTTACATATACAATGTTTTAAGACTTCAAACTTAAGAGTTCAAGCTGACTCTCACAATGTTAATATCAAACTGATACTCAAAATTTTAAAACCTGTGCTATAATATTGACGTTAAAAATGTCAGTGTTGAAAAAACGGAAATATTTTTAATTTTTTTGTCCTCAAAATTTTTTTGTGTCCTTAACATGCATGGGACGGAGTTAATGTGAGCCCTGGGTTATATTTATCTGCAATTGGTTCCTTTAAAAATTATAATTTTAAATAAAACTTCATTCGTTTTGCATGTTGCCAGATATTCTAATGATCCCCCCCTTATCCTAAATAAATGCAAGATGAGAGTGCTGCAATGCATGCACACTATCAAAACCACACCACACCACAGTGTTATACCAAAGCGTTAAGCGTTATGGGATATATGTTCTCACATGATAATTTGGTTCTTCTGGGATACCAACAACCTTCTTTGGCTCATCAGTTTCTTCCTGTAAGATATATATGTCATATGTGTTGTCATTTTTACAGTTCCTATGCAGAAAAGAGGATAACTTTGCTAATTTTCAAAATAGTCACTCAATTTTGTTTGCAAATTTTACTGTCTGAAAAGTATGGCATCATAGACCTAGCCAATATACTCCAATTTTTTTTAGTTTACCAAAAGGTTCAGGATTTATTGGAAAGGTCTATTGCTTCATTAATGTTGACTTATCAGTCAAAGATTATATTGCTATATTCGTTCTGTATTCTAAAAGACAGTGAATTTCACCTCATTAGAGTTAAGTCTGTATTATTCGTATCCTAATCTCTAGTCAAGCTAACCAAGTTTTAACTAAACCAATGCATTAGATTTAGAAAGCAAACTAAATTGCATTAAAGAAGCAGTGCACCTGGTTTTGAATGCATTTCTGAAACCCTTTTTGAATAATTTTCACATGAAAAAAGTATATGACAAAATCAAAATTGGAACAGAATGATCCGAGTGGGAGGAACATCCACTTGCCCCATTATAAAACAGTATATGTTATTAACTTCACCCTTGGTATACGCAGCTAACGAAAATTGACCGGTACGGGTCAAAAGCTGGACCGGTACGGGTTAACGGTTTTATTTGAATTTAAAACAGCCATAACTTGCTCAATATTGACTTCCTCGTGTCTAATTTGAAATATATGATGCCTCCCGATGCTTTTAAGTACCCCAATTTTTTACAGATTTTTAAACGGACCAAAACTCTCTAAATGCGCATTTATGCTCTTTTCTCTCGAGAATGACTGTCTCATTTTCACGATAACTTTTATTTAGTACTTCTAACATATAAGATCTATTTTTCCCCATCAAGGTATGATGTAAATGACATGCTATTTACATCTTGTGAGTTTCAATGACGCGCGTTTAATTTTATAAAAAATGCCAAACTTTGTGACAAAGAATTTCATCAGCTATTGCCCCGAACCAGTCCGTCTTCTCGCTGCAAGCAGATTGCCCCGAACCGGTCCATCTTCTCGCTGCAAGCAGGATGAAATTCTTTGTCACAAAGTTTGGCATTTTTTATAAAATCAAACGTGCGTCATTGAAACTCACAAGATGTAAATAGACTGTCATTTACATCATACCTTGATGGGGAAAAATAGATCTTATATGTTAGAAGTACTAAATAAAAGTTATCGTGAAAATGAGACAGTCGTTCTTGAGAGAAAAGAGCATAAATGCGCATTTAGAGAGTTTTGGTCCGTTTAAAAATCTGTAAAAAATTGGGGTACTTAAAAGCATCGGGAGGCATCATATATTTCAAATTAGACACGAGGAAGTCAATATTGAGCAAGTAATGGCTATTTTAAATTCAAATAAAACCGTTAACCCGTACAGGTCCAGCTTTTGACCCGTACCGGTCAATTTTCGTTAGCTGCGTATACCAAGGGTGTACTTCCCATAATATTTGTCATAAAAGAATATATCCCACAATGCAACTGACAAAGTTACACATTTCCCATAATTCAACTGTCAAAGCAAAAAATCTCCCATAATACAGCTGTAATTGTAGAATATTTCCCATAATGCGACTGAAAATGCAGAATTTTTTCCTTTATGAACTGTCAAAGCTATACTCCATTGATCAAATTGTCAAAGTAGAATATTCCCAAAATGCAACTACCAGCATTCACTTATCCCATGATGCAACTGTCAAAGCAGACCACTTCCCATAAGTCAAACCTCCTCAGAACTGTACTGGTAAACCTCTTTCATTGGTTTAATATGCGGAGGAGACAAACAGCTATCGTCCAACTGTTTAAGGCAAAAATCATATTAGAATTCCCACTATGAAAGGTAGTTACGATGATTTGGTAATCTTTTCATATCCTATAGTATTTGACCATAGTTTTTAAGGCCAATATGAATCACACTGGAGTAAAAGAGAATTATGTCCATGTGTTTCCATTGGACTACAATGTAACCTCGATTTGTGATCTGTAGTTATAATTACATATATACAGTGGTAAAAATATGCACTAGAGCTGTCTAGAGGCTAGAAAAATTCAAGGATAGTTTTAACTGTACTGTGAGCTGCTAAATATTGATAAAAACAGCCACGTATGAGTGGCGCTAGTATAAAGACCTTATCCCAAACCCTAAGATTTACATCAATGGTCAGTTATATGCTTTAAATGCATATGCAACCAACGATCACAACAAACTATCCAATTGACGCATGAATGTGACATCTACGCCTGCACACCTGAGATGGGTGAGGCAGTCACAATAAAGTATTCATTTGAGACTGCAAACTTCAGGAACCTTAACTCACTGATAGTATAAGTACACTGACCTGTTCCTTGTCTGTGAATGCCTCTGTAGCCCGTAGAATGAGGCCTTCATCTTCTCCCAAAATGTACATGTTTTGTATTCCTTTCTCTAGCCTTTCTCCTGGCATGAGGAAGAATGATTTCTCACCCTGTAAGCATATTTTAAATTATTTAAAATACATCCAATTTACCTCTTGAGTACACAGAGTGACGAGATTTTTCGTCACATTAGAAATGACTCTAAGACCTACGGTGACAAGATAATCTGTCATGGAATGTTTCACTAAAACTGCTCTAATTTTTACAATCTTTATCAAATGTGCATAAATAATGTTTTAATATGTGATAAAAGGATCTCTTCCGACTTATTTCACCAAATTAAAGCATCACCTGTTGTATATGTATGCGTATGTAGTAAAATGTCAAAAACTTGAAAAAATTAAAAAATTCTCTAGTTTCAAACTGATTTTAACGCCTTGGATTCCAGAGGTTAATCATCATAGCCAATCCATGGCCAATGTTTGTTTACATACATACATAATACATTATTAAAGCATTTCAATTAAAAATGACCTTATCTAACATGGAAATGAATATTGGAGTATTTACCTTGACTAATCTCTTTTTGCCTAGTTGTGGACGACCATTGTCATCCACTGGATCGCAGATGACACAATATTGCCTGTTGTTTAGAGTAGTAATATTCACAACTCCAACCACCTAAAAATATAAAGTTAAAAGTAATAAAATATATTCAATTCAACAGTCCATTTCTTCTTAAAAAGGGTAAGATTTTAGAATTTTCAAGAGTGTTGGAAATTAGAGATTTTTCAAAATTGTACTAAAAAGCAATAAATATTGAAATATGCATATGTTTATGCAAAATGAAAAATTGAAATCTTTAATTTGGCAAATCTGACCAAAACTTTGTGATTTTCACCCTAATAAATTAATTATTTGAAACTGTGCCATTTGGGCTGTTGGGTGTCAGATTCATGCTTTCATTAGTGTCCCTTTTTTTACTTTATATTTCAAAATGATAAATGCTTATAAATATATATCCAGCATGTGTGTCTATATGTCTCACCTCTTCATACACATTTGGAATGTGTGTCTCTGTGTCAGACATCTTAATCAGCCACTCTTCTCCATTCTTTCGCTCGATGCCAAAGTCATCCTTGAATGTCTTGATGGCTCTCATGTGTAATGCTTTCTGTAAAAGGTAAATAAGGGTATGAGTTGTATATTTATATACATTTATTATACCATTTAATATAAACTACAAGGCATTAACATGCAGAATGTCACCACCTGTCATTTGTTACAGATGCTGAACACCAACCATCAAACACCAAAAGCTGCCACAAAAAAGTTGGAGACTACAACGATTCACCCCTCGTCGTGGTGGTGGTGACATAATAATTAATAAGATATATAAAATTAATTGATATATTACAAATATTGAATGCTGAAGTCATCGTTGTGTTTGAATGTGTTGATGGCATACCAGTGTAAAGCTTTCTGCAAATATAATTCATTTATTACATTTTTGAAAATTTTGAGAATCATCGGAGACTCCGATATTTTGTCAAAATAAACTTATCTCTTTTTCAGCCATTATATTCCATTCAAATAAAAATAATTTCCAAAGTTAAAACACAATCTGTGTGTTCTTACCTTCTCTGTGAGTACATATGCGTCGTTTATATCGACTACTTCCTCGTAAGCTCCGGGTAGGTAGGCTCCTGTTTTCTTCCATAGCCATTCCTCACCAGTTACACGGTCTTCCCCTGACCTGTCTACGCATTCCTGGAATACAAAATTTGCAACTTTTTAATTTTTTAGCGATCATGTGTGTCAATTTTGGGATCAGGGTCAAATGCACACACACTCCTCCCCTGATTTGTTTATGTACTCCTTGAATACAATATTTGTCACTTTTCATTTTTTAGGAATCAATATTGTCACCGATCACTTTTAAAGTCCACCTCGAATTTATAAAGCTCCTACCCTGACCTACAGTGTAATATGAAGAAAAATGTCTCACTTTTCAATTATTTTATTCATCAAAATTGTTTGTCAATTGGCATATTAATTTCTAAAAGAAAGGGGTCTCTTCAATACATTTTGTACTACATTATTAATATTTGTATGACTGAAAAAATGATGGATAAAAAATACCTTTCTCGCCCGTAGTCTAATAGCCTGGTTAGATTTAACGATAGTAGCTCTAATTGTTTCTTCAACCATGACCTCTTTACGAGGAATATATGTCCCTGGTCCCTCGAATAACCATTCATCACCTACAAGTGGATATGAGAGAATAAGTTGTACATGTTTAGAATTTGACATATGATCTCAAATTTAATTTTTGTGGCTTTTTCGAATATCAACTGAATGTTAGTTGTAAATATTGTGATTGAATATCAAATATGCTTGATAACAATACTATAATAACCTGACATCAAATCCACTGAAAATTATGACTTGACATCATGTCTCATTGATTACTATGGCCTAAAAGTCTCCTCGAATGTAAATGGCCTGACACAAAATTGAATCTAAATTGAATCATATGACCTGACATAAAGTCTTAATGAATCATATGACCTGACATTAAATCTCAATGAATATTATGACCTGACATCAAATCTCAAACAACCTACCAGCAGTTCGTTTGTTGCCTTCATCATCCTCAAAGTCCAGGATGGAGCGCAATCGCAGTGCCGTATTAGCGATCACAACTTTCAATGGGGACACAGCCTGGAAAAATTGAGAATATTTTAACACATTTTCTTTCTGATAATAAAGATATATTTATTGGCCTCTCTCGAAATTGACTGTTGACATTATAAGTTAAGGGGAGGCATCAAAAGTTCGATGTCGGATCGGAAACTAAATAAATCTAGTTTTGACTCAGACCCCCCCCCCCTCCCCCCCAAAACTAAATACCGTGAAAGTTGATCGCTTACTTCCAGTTTGAGAATTTGAAAAATTATTGCTAAACACGATCTAGTTTTTGTTAATTCCTATCGTAATTTGCGGCTTTTAACAACTATTGATAGAATAGAATCCATTGGAATGATCTTAACGAAGAAAGCATCAGGTAAAATCTTTATTTTTAAACCATTCCAAGGCATTCTGAGTTGAAATTGCCAAAAATTTGAAATGTTGAAATTTATCAGATAGCAAACTGAAATGGGTTTGAACCCCCTCCCCCCTAACTAGATTTATTTAGTTTTCTATCCGACATCGAACTTTTGATGTCTCCCCTAAAGACATTGTAAATTGGACAAAGAAAACTATCGACCAGCCTTTGACCAATCGAAATTGAGTAATACTATTAGGTTGAAGTTCTTTAAACTTCAATATTCAAAAGTGTTACAAAGTGGCAATATGTCTTAAACATGGTGGCAATATGTCTTAAACAAAAAATTCTTAGAATTCTTGCATTTTCAGCTGAAAATTTCAAAATTGAGCCAATAAAGGTAATATTACCACTGAATAAGGCTGGAAGAATGCTAACCTGTTTCAGAACTTCACCAGGGTATAGCGGGAATGGGTCCTGGGCGAGTCTAATCTCTTGATCGGCATGCTGGAGCTTTGCCTGTCCACTTGTATCAAAAACGATCCTGCCATCTTTGTCTTTACTGATAGGGTTCTCAATGACTGTGTAGTGTCTTGGAGGAACCACTATCATTTTCTCTGGCCCAAATACAACCCTGTATGGCAATTTCAAATAAAGGTTAATACTGGGGATAGCGTTTACGATCGTTCTATATTGTTTCAGCAGATATATTTGTTTGCAATCAAAACACATGTTCAGTAAATATTCTGTACTTTATGCTGATGAAAATGAGAGCTGTTGAATTTGGAGTGAAATTAACTCTAAATATTAAAAATGTAAAAATGCAGCAGCGACTTTAGGAAATTATGGAGTGAACCACTCATTTTGAAAAGTATATTTGTGCATAATAAATTCTGAATACGTAACAAAAATAAAAAGCAACTCTCAGTTAGTGTCGCATGCTCAGTCTTGACTGCGTTCATCAGGAGCAGAGTGAATGGAGATGTCTCTCAGCTATGAAAGCAATTAAAGAATGGTGCACATGTAAGACTATTACTTATTTAGCCAAACCCATAGAATAACACGGCATTAACATGCACAATGTCACCACCTGCCATTTGTTATAGATGCTGAAAGCTGAACAACAACTGCTGACCACCAAACAACAATTGCCAAACACCATCAATAAAAAGTTGGTAACTATAACAATATATCAACACTTGTGGTGGTGACATAAAAATGAAATTGGCATACCCCCCCCCCTCCCTCCCCTCTGTCAGGTCTACCAGATTACCCACCTTTCATTATCCTGTCGGATATATGTCTTTGGGCCAATCTCGAGCCTTGTAACATTGGTATTTTGGTCCAGTACATGGAGATAGTAATATGGGGGAATACGGAACAGACTTTCATCGCTAGCTTTTCGGTTAGCCATCTTTAATTATCTGGAAACAGATATAAACATTATTAGATTTGCTTAGAGAGGCTTAATGCCTTAGCGTAAATTCTCTCTCTCTACTCATACCACTTTCAAAGAGTACTGTACCTAACAATTTAAATGTAGAATGAATACAGCATTCATTTTTAATTGTTTACTTAATTCCTTAGCGATCTATGAACTTATAATAAGTAAGGCAAGGAATATAAAACAGTCCAAAGCTTCCCATTTTAGGTTCATATGGAAATGATATTGGCTTTGCAGTTTGGCAATCTCACAAAAGATCACATGGTCAGCATTACTATTTATGTAATAGTGAGCAAGTCTAGGATGCATATGTATTAACATTGTTTGGTTAATGCGCTAAGATCAATACTGTGAACTTATCCAATGTTATGTGATATAGATTCCATATATAAATATACCAATAGATTAAATGGAAGCATGTACAGTGCTCAGATTCAAAGAGCCGTACCATTTTTTTACCATGTTAAGTCATTTTGGGAACCAGTCTCTCCTTTTAGAATCTCAAAATATTTTTAATATCTAGTATTAGTCCTTTTATATATTACATTTGTAATTATATCTATCAAAATGACAATTGATTTGGTAAAATGGAATAATGAAAATGTTCCTGAGCTTACCTCCTATGAAGGCTTATGTGAAAATAACTTGGATGCCAAAATTTTCCCAAGTTTCCCAAGTAATTTGAACTCGTTGGCTGGTTAATATTAAAGTTCAATTTTGCGATAGCTTAAACAAATACAAAACGAAATGTAAATGATCGTTTCAATGTTAAAACAAACAGATCTCATAAAATTCATGCTGAACTTTGATAAAATAAACCTCTAAATGAAAAGCATCAAATGACTAGAGAGTACATATTTTGTTTTGAGTTAACTGATTTATGAATACTTGAAAACACCCTTTACAATTTGTGTTTTCCAACATTTTCCGAATCAAGTAATTTGTAAATTAGTTTTATTTTTTTGTTCTACCCCATTGTTTTATTAAAAAATTGTAACTTAAAAATAATTGTGTTGTTTTTTATCATACAGGTCACAACTGTTTATCATTCTATACTTTTATGCCATGCTTGAAAGCATCAAAATTGGCAAAACTTTCCTCAAACAGACGCCCCCTCATTCTACCCACCCCCTAATCCTACAACCAACTTGTTTCTATTCAATGGTGACAACATCACATTACATTTCTAGCTGGCCTATTTGCCAATGGGGAGTACGTCACACTGACCCCATATCCATTTACCTTTACGCCAACATATACCATATAGGTTGAAGCCAAGGGAAGAGTTAAGGTCCCCATGTCTTCTTACCCATAGGCATAGCCAGGGTGCGATGGGTGCCCCATAAACCCCCATAACCAATCAAAATAGACCCATGAGGAAGAAGAGGAAAAGAGCTTTAAAATGCTTTTCATTTGAAGCTTCTAGCTTAATTTTCAAGGAAGTTACATCAATTTTTGTAAAATAAAAATAAATCCTATTTTTGGCTTATTTATGCCACTATTGCACCCCCCCCTGACTGAAAACCAATTTTTTTGGGCAATCGCACCCCCCTGACTGAAAGCTGGCTACGCCCCTGTAACCCATTTAGTTATTTGTCATTTTACCTTTAGCCATCTTGCCTATTTGTCATCTTACCTATTTGCTTTCAGTTAACAGATCTGCTGCACAACTTTTCCGTTTCAGTTTTACTTATTCCGATATTTAGTTAATGATGGAATATCTAATAATTATTTTGTGCATTCCAGCATTAAAAAATCTATGAGATTCTACTAAAAAGTAAATCTTTATCTACTTTTTACTGCTTTTTTCTTCTATACTATTGACATGTTCTTTCTCGCTCAGCTGTATGTTAAAATGAATTCTAGAATATACTGCAAGCTTTATGGCTAGTAGTTTATGAAGTATTTCACCACAACGAATCATCCAGTTTTATCAATTCAAGAAACGCTGATGCAAACAGCTAGCTGGGTATAGGCTATACACTTATAGCTGAAATTGCATCAACACACTTGTGGCCAATGGTGATTCAAACTCACAATGCTGACATGGGTTGGATTATAAATATTGCTGATGTCAGTCGAGTGATGTCATTGCTTGAAAACAACTTGAAATAGTTGTGCAACTGTACCACAATATATTAGATCTATGATCTGAATGAATAATGAAAAATTCAATTATCTAAACACTGCAATTTGCAGAAACACCAGTATTCAGTCTCCACTACAAAAATTAGATTGCACAATCATTACAGTGTATTTAATAGGTAACCTGGCTATTGGGCTAAAAAATGTGAAAATGCACTCACTTCAGATGATAATATCTCAATTAATGCTCAATAGAAAGTTACAAAGTTTGTTCAAAATGATAAAATAAATATTAAACAATGGATATAATATAACATTAGAACATGACATTCATGAAATATGTATGTAAAATCTAGTCAAAATTTGGATCGATATCACCAGGAAGTTGTTTACTTTGCTTGGCTTCAAAGATGGCTGCCAAATATTCGATATGCATTTATCGTCCATTTTATACGTTAATGCCTTTGCAAAAACAATTGAGACTTATGCAGAGTGTACACTATAATAAGGGTAAAATTTAAAGTTAGTTTTCATCGACGGTTGTTACATAGTTTGTCTGTAATTACCTGATAAAACTGACGCAAGTGGTTCTTCTGATGTCGGCTCCTTTGAGAATGCAGCCAATCAAAGTACTCGAAAGTGACGTCATGTGATTGACCCACTTTAATTGGGGACCGGTCATATTCACGGTGTATAACCCAAACGCTCCTACATGCACGACGGAGCGTTCCATTACTGAAATTAAACAAAGAAACGCTCCGGAGTAGAAAAACTGTCTGGCGGGAATGATGAGCCGTCTGACAATTTCCCCAATAATGGGAATAAGAGGTATGAGTTACATATTTCGAGTATACCATTCGATGGGTGTGATATTCATGTTGTACGTGGCTGGCTGTTGACGTTTGAAGCAATTAGGAAGAGCTGTACGAAGCAGTATAGTTATCAAAATTCAAAAACGCATTTGTCATTCTACCGGTCAAAACCCCTTTTGTCGATACTTGTGATTAGTTGAGCCAAGATTAGAGCACCAACGTATATTTTAGTCAAATTCCAATGCTTCAACGCACCATACATTATCGTAATAGTGATTTGATGACCGAAAATCCAGTCTTAAAAATGATGACATTCTCATATTCAAGAAACGCTCCGATCTGGTTAACACAGTGAATTGGAAACGCTCCGGTGGTCTAGATCAGTTAAGGAAATATATAGCTTGCCTTTCCTTTTCAGGAAGAGAAAGAAAAGATCTATTATACCCCTTGGCATCAATAGAAGAAAGATTAATTCACATATAACTTTTCGTTTTTTTCTATAGTTTTATGATTTAGCACATATGTAGGCATGACATCATCTAATGTATAGGCTTTAATCAGCTAGTTGCACGTTTAGCACCACCAGGTTCAGATGTTTCAATTTGCCTAACAAGTACAACACGTTTTTGAGAGATAGATTCGATTCGGAACTCTTCTCTAATAATCTGAAAATGATATCAAAACAAAATGGTAAGAGCGTTTCTAAAATTGTGGTCTAAATCGACGGAGCGTTACGAGGAAAACAAGCGATTTCTCGAGAACAAGTAATGGATTTGGACTGGGATTTTAGGAAATGAGAATATACGAGTTTATGATCTACTGCTTAAACAGAAAGATTAACGTTTTCATAGAAATACTACTTTAATTCGTAATTTGTGGTCAAATCGTCATCTTCAGATTCGTTCGATCTACACTACGGAGCTTTGATCAAGCAAATAACAGTTTACCACCAAAAGTTGAATAAATAAGATCTTTGCTCACGGTATTGTTCATCGAATGGTACATAATATTTCACCATGACATATGATATGTAAGAGAAACGAGAGAAACAATATTACGGTCATAGTAGAATCTTCATTAGCCGCCATTTTATTTCGCTCCGGAGCGTTTCCGCGTAAATGTAACGCTCCGTCGTGCATGTAGGAGCGTTTGGGTTATACACCGTGATATTCTTCATGGCAAAGTAAGATCCGAGAGTCCTGAAATAATGTTCAAATTGGGAATTGTTTAATTGGGAGTAGTTGAGTGGTCTATGAAGCTCTCACTTCTATGATATGTCAACCACTGCTCAAAACTGTTGAGACTGTTAAAACACAATGACACATCTACGACTGAGATGTGTCACCGGCACAGGCCGTGTCACAACGAGCAAGATGTAGTACCATTGAGGACAAATGTCACACCCTTTAGATTGTACATACCGACTGCTGACATTCCTAAACCTAAACGTTGGCCCTAATGATCGTCATTGACGTACAGCCAATAGCTAAAGTGAAAACAACACACCCCGGCGCCAAGATTCAAATAAAATGTGATTCTTGTATCAATGTGCTTCAAAAACATAGTCGCAAGGACAACGGATCCCGGCAACAGATTCAATAACTGAAGTTTGATTTACTTAAATCTTGATACATCGATCCTTTTCACGGCTATCGATGATGATTGTCTGGCAAGGCCAGTTCAAGTTTCTAAGATCACTAAAAGTCGAAGCTAATCACCCCCCCCCCCCCCCCCCGTCTAGAATGCGTCTCGGTCAATGGCCGGTTGGAATTCTATGTAGGATTCTTTGTTTTCGTAAAAGCACTTGCTGAAATGGTACCGAAAATGTGTCTAAAAGTATACCAAAATGGATTAACAAAAACTTTTTTTCGATAAAAGCTAAACTTGCAAATGATAAAGAAAATCCATTTTCCAACTGATAAAATAAAGAGAACGCAAATTACAAGGCTAATCAACAATAGACTAGATGTCAAAATTCAGTCAAAGGCTCAAAGCCGCGATGTTATACATAGTATTTGAAATCTACATGATGTAAAAGTACATCGAGAAATATGGTTTCGAAAATTGTTTATCAAGTTTGAAAATTTAATTATTTTTGAACGTTTCTAGTTCGGGTTAATTCTCCATAGAGCCCATGCTACAAAAACACAAAAAGTGAAATATATTTTTTTGCATTGGTCAGATAACATTTTCATTTACTGGACATATTTTGATTTGCATAACTATTAGATATATGAGGGTTATATGAAAATTGAACCACTAAAACAGATGCCACGGTAATTTAAGTTAAAGGGAACCTTTCTACTATACCCGCCATGCTATCTGACTCGAACGAGCCACCTGGTGGTGAAACTGGTATCTACCTACTCGCATCTGCGATATTTGACATCTTATTAGATGCTTCAACTGGCCATATGATCATGAGTGATGCTAGTCTTGCTTCATGAGACCGTCGTCTGTGGACCTCCCTCTTACTTCACCAATAAAACTCACGGGCTTGTAGCTTGACAACATTGATGCAGACAAATGTAAATCCAAACATGGACAATGGTGATTTGATACTAAAAAAGCTTTTCTATGAATAAAGTTACCTCATGAAACTATGAATGTTTATCTTTGTCACCCATTTTTGGAAACAAGTTTTCTCTAAAAGTCCAGAGTTACCAAGTGCAAGTTTTAGAAGTCTATTCTATACAAATTCTAAAAAGTATTTGCTTTATCACGCTAAGAGTAATTTTATGTTTGACTCGATGACGTTGGGATACGGGGACACCCTGTAGCATAGGGCCCGGGAACATGTATTAACAAGGCATTAACATGACAAAATGCCATCACCTATCTAGTTGCACAAAATATTATGAGTTCAATCTAAGTCAGAATTCAAACTATATATTTTTCACCCATTTTTGCACTTTGACTCCCTTATAACTTCACCAATTTATAACATATCGTGAATCTTTTGGGAGATATTGTATTTGAGATTATAAGGAATAGATTGCAATGGGTAGGTCAATTGTACATGTTGCTTGTAATAAATGTCACCCCCATCTGATCCTGCCTCTGTTTAATCCTTGTAAGCTAATAATATGAAAGTATCATATTCTGGTTCTGGTATTACGCAAATGAAATAAAATCATTGTCTAAACACTAATTACTAGTTCAGTGACGGATCCGGGGCGCATGGGGCCCGCCCTTTAGTGGTCCCAGATTTTTGTTTTATTTTTAAGGGCCTCAAAATTTTGTAAGGGCTCAAAAATGCGCCTTTTGGCCAATTTAGCAAAAATGGGCCTTACTTTTTCAAAATTTGGGCCCCTGAAACAAAAAAGTGGGCCCAACTATTGAAATTTTGAGGCCAATAATCTTCAAATGATTTGTATGGCCTAAATCAAAAAGTCAGGCCTTAAAGGCCCATTTATGACCTACAAGGCCCACATTTTGGGGCCTTAAAGCCTTTTTTGGCTCAACATTTTAGGCCCAATTTTTTTTTCTGGGCCCACCCAAGGGGGAGACGGGCCCCTGCCCCCCCCCCCCCCCCCCCCCCCACACACACACACAGATCCGCCAGTGATTAACTATTTATCATGTGCTATACTTGATACGTATTGATAGCATGGTGCCTGAATAACACAATTGAAAATCACAATAGCTGATGCAACGCTGGTACAGTCATTTCTGCCAACCTGGCAGTGACAACAAGGCTTGCATCAGAAAATGCGGGAAATTCCATATTTTAAAGAAGCCAATCAAATGCCTGGGATATGACGTCAATGTTATTCTAGCGACCAATCAGAAATCGACACGACCTTCCAACTCATCACATAAAATACTGAACGATCTAAGAAAATGTAAATCAGAAGACGGACCAGATTTTCACGATTTATTCCCATTTGAGGGAACAAAAATTGTTGCAGATTGTGACATTTTGATGAGGAATATCCAAGGAACACGATGGTAGCTCAACACACAATCCTTGTAACCACTATGCCGGGTAAAAAGACCCAGGCATCGTTGGCATCTCTGAATCTTTCGCCGACTCAGTTTTCACAAGCCGAATCTCTTCTTCACGATATGGAGCCGAAAAAACGACGAAGGTTGACACATTTGACACCAGATGAAAAAATAATGCGCAGGTAAAAATTTAATTACATTACTATGAAGGTAATTAACAAAAAAAGCTATTGGATTTCAAAGAATTTTCTTGAATTTTCTCAGAAGTGGGTGTGTCACTTCCTCAAACATTACTGAAGTGATCAGTCATTTTTTGTGATATAAGAGCAGTCATATATGTGAATTACAAAATATTGTTTCATTGTATATTTTCAGGAAGCTCAAAAACAGAGTTGCTGCTCAGACTGCACGTGATCGAAAAAAAGTGAGAATGGACACTCTGGAACAACAGCTTTCAGACATGGAAACTCTTAACAAGCAACTGGTAAACGAAAACAATCGCTTGAAGACACAAACGTCGCATTTGAAGCTTGAAAATGCTCAGCTCCGCGAACGTCTGGGTATGCAAGTCACTGGTGATGTCGATGTCGAAATCAAGAAAGAGCCTGTACTCCCTGAGTCAGCAGTACTCTCTCCTCCGCAGCAGGACAGAGTGCAGGCCCTTTACAAGATGACGATGTCATTCATCTCGGTACTAGCGATACTCAGTCTGACGTATGGCTGGACATCCTCGCCCAAATTGAAGACCCCAAAGCGATTGACCAAATCTCTGAGACCCCTGAAACCATCACCATCCAAAAAGACACCAACAATATGGTGGGGACCACAGCAAAAGAGTTGGAATCCCTCAATGAACTTATAAAATTCGATCATGAATATTACAAGTCTGAAACTCCCATAAAAGAGACCCCACAAATTAACACTAAAAAGCAGGAAACTGACAATGTTCTTTCAATGGAAAATGTAACATTAGACCTCTCAGAAGAGGCTCTGTCTCAACTCAAGGACATAGAAGCCCTTATGAAAGATGATTTGGACTTGCTCTCTGATATGGAAGAAACTGTTTCTAAGTCTAATGATGACATCTATGAAATCAAAAGTGTAGCCCCCACAGATGTGAAAAGTAAAAACTCTCGAAAGAGAAAAGCATCTGTACTTGATACGCCTGATGTTGTAGACTCTGTTTCTGAACTATGGAGCGCAGTTGAGGCAACTAAACTTTCAACTGTATCTATGAGTGAATCTGGTTATTCAAGTACAACAAGTGACTATGGTGATGCTATGTCTCCTCATAGTGACGGCATGTCATCTCATAGTGACACATCATCTGTATTAAATGAAGACAATGTATGGGATGACTCATTTACTGGTCTTTCAGAGCTGTTTCCTAGCTTAGCATAAACATCTCATCCCAATTCTCATAGTAGGGAGGGGGACAGACTTGGTGCCAGAGTAATCAGAGGCCATCACATTAAATATAATATAAAAAAGAATGATTTGGACATATCCCATTGATTTATAATTTGCAGAATTTGAAATGACTGAGGTCTAATTTTCACATTTTTGCGAATCATAAACAATCAGCAATTTCCAATTTATTCCCATCTTCATGAAATGTTATTATTTATTTTTTGTGATGGTATGTACATTTTTAGATCTGCAATTGAAAGACTGTAAATAATTCATCTCATATATGTAAATATATTTTAAATTCAATATATGTACAACACATACAAGATATTACTAGTATAAGTATATACTAGTATAAGATATTATATTAGTTTTGCTATACACATAATGAGAATGTATAAATATGTTAAATCTGATTGGTTAGTCTATCTTGATTTGAACCAATCAGGTTGCAGTATTTATTTTACTTATAATATGTATAGTTAAGGCTATTATTTATTCCTTAATATTTACTTACATTGTATACATCAGAAAAATGTATACAATTTTTCATGGATATGTATTTGTGCTACACTTAGATGTGATGGATGGTACAAAAGACTTAAAAATAAATTCAAAAACTTGTAATCATTTGTCCATGGTTGTATATTTGAGGTTTAAAATTCACAAGATGAAATGCAAGACAAAAAGAAGTTCAATCACAAAAGTAATAATTCCCAGAATAAGGGCCTAGAAGACCTACATAAACTCTGTTTTTAATTTTATAGATCATTCAGAATTACGCTTTCCGCTCCACTAAATCTTGAGTTTATCCCTTTAACAAAAATGAAATCCAAAACCCTTGTTTATTATCCCATCGAACGAAGTTCGGAGGGATATAGAGAACGCCTCCGTCCGTCCGTCCGGGCAATAACTCAAATATCGTTGGCTCGATTGTATTCATATTTTGTACACATATACCCTATGGGGGTAGAAGTTCTGCTCGAAAGTCGATTTTCAAAATGGCTGCTCATTTAAAAATGGTGGCCATTTTAGTGCCGATTTTACAGTAATTTAGGTGCAATATGTAAAACTGTAATAGCAATATGTTTTAAATGTAAAAAAAATTATATAGGACATTAATAAAGCTAGAAATGTAGATATTAAAAAAAGCACATGGCAGCCATCTTGAAAAATGGCGGCCTTTACTCGTTATTTTACGATTTTTGCTGTAACTCGAAAAGTAGTAGAGCGATTTTGTTCATATTTGGTATGTGAATACTATAAGCATGGCACACTGTCTAATGACACTTTTGGTAGAAGGCGGCCATTTTGAAAAATAGCCACCATTTAACGTATTTTACTATAACTCGAAAAGTAGTGGAGCGATTTTGTTCATATTTGGTATGTGAATACGTATAAGCATGGCATACTGTCTAATGACACTTTTGGTAGAGGGCGGTCATTTTTCAAAAGGTAAAGATTAAAAGGTGGATTGGATCGAGTGGATTGGATTCATGTAAAATGTGGATTGGATTGGCTATCTTCAAAATATGGATTTTCCTTTAAAAAATTCTATTGATCTCCCTTTAGGAAGATTGGTGCTCTCTTCACTTGCACAATGTCAAATAATAGATGTAATATTATTTTGCTTCGGTGGGCTAGAAGGATGACCTGGTACCCGCTTTCTGATACACGATCTTATTCATTCCAAGTGTAATTTGAGACATTTCATAAATCATAAGGCAGACTGGTTTGAAGATCCATATCATCTGTTTTCAATCCAAACTGAACATACCAGAAATGTTTTGTGAACATTCACACATTAATTTGAATGACAGGTTTTCTTTTTCTAAAGATCTATGTCTTACAAAAGTTGATTTACAGAAAGCGGTTAAATACTTAAGAGTGTCCATGAACTAATTGGAGTATGTATTTGTCATTGCTTTGTTCTGATTTCTCAAAAGGGACCTGTAATACTGTAGAGGAAAATTGTTTAGAGGGAGATCAACAGATTTTTTTTAAAGAAATTCCACATTTTGAAGATTCCCGATCCAGTCCACCTTTTACATGAATCCAATCCACTCGATCCAATCCACCTTTTAATCTCTACCTTTCAAAATGGCCGCCATTTTAACGTATTTTCTTTTACTATAACTCGAAAAGTAGTGGAGCGATTTTGTTCATATTCGGTATGTGAATACTGTAAGCATGGCACACTGTCTAATGACACTTTTGGTAGAAGGTGGCCATTTTGAAAAATGGCGGACATTTTGAAAAATGGCTGCCATTTTAACTTATTTTACTATAACTCGAAAAGTAGTGGAGCGATTTTGTTCATATTTGGTATGTGAATACTATAAGCATGGCACACTGTCTAATGATACTTTTGGTTGAAGGCATTTTTCAAAATGGCCACCATTTTAACGTATTTTACTATAACTCGAAAATTAGTTGAGCGATTTTGTTCATATTTGGTATGTGAATATTATAAGCATGGCACACTGTCTAATGACACTTTTGGTAGAAGGTGCCCCTTTTGAAAAATGTTCGATGGGATTCGCTACGCTTTGGCGTTGCCGTTGTTCTGGTTTATTGATTGTATTCAACAGTTCAATACTTCAATCTGTTTGTGATAGAGTTCCCCAGATTATTTTGCTAGGAAAAGGTGCCATAAAATTGAAAGCAACAGGTACAATTGTACCAATATTCTTTACCATCTCAAATATAATATCCCATAATAAAGTCCACAATAGGTGAAGTTTTCATAAGTTCATAGTGCTCAATTTTTCAAGTATGCGTGGAATTCTTATGGGTTATCACATTTATAGATTGTCTAGGTTCCTCGAATAAAGTATGCGCTACTGGGATTTTTAGAAAAAATCTGATGCTTGAGGACCAATTCCAACAAGAGATAGTGCAAGCGGGAGTGCAAGCTTTGCATGTTAACATATTTTCATGTTAACATTAATATGCTTTGCAACCAATGTATTCCTTTAGTCATAGTACATGTACCTTGATGAGCAGATTTGTGTACCTCACAATGGAACGAGACATAACTAGATAACATTCTTTATTCCATACTTTGTACATGTATATGTTATAGGTAAATAACATGTAACCCGGAATTTAATTGACATTGACATCAGATCTACGACGTCACGCCACATTTTCAATATAGCTTTGATCGTTTTTAATGAAATTTTAGGAGATTTGCATTTTTAACCATTAAAGACTAACCTTTTATTCTATTTGATGGCATTTATGAATTCTGTGTGTAATTTTCTATCAAAACAACTTTGTTTTGCATCGTTAATTACCTTTATTCAAATTCTAATCACTTTCTAGTTGTCTAAAAAGGTCGGGCTAAATCCCCATTGACATAATGCTGAATATCCTTTGAACATTCATTTACTCTTACCATGGGCTTTCAACTAGAAAGTTGAAATCCCATGCTTTTACAAGAATCACAATTTTAATTTCACTTTCGTTTAAAACTCACCCTTGATAAAAAGATGGCAGTGTAAATTTAGATAATTAATCACGTGACTTTCGGCATCACGTGACAATTTCTTTACCGCTTCTTCACAAAACATGGCAGATCGTAAGTAAAATTTTGTGTTTTAAATTTGATTTCAGACAAAATGTAAGCGTACAACAATGCAAATATCATGTTTTATTGAATGATACACTTTCGAAGGTAATATTAGTGTGCTAATTATTCAAATATACCCATACTTTAGCGAGATATTGCCGTGCAATAAAGAAAAAAAAATTCAAAATGGCTGGCAGAACAAAGAAGCGTGGTCTTGTTCGGTGCGCAAATTTAGATTTTCTCCTTCATTGACCGATTAAATATACTATAAACATGGATTTCTCAAATACTTGGACTCGTTGCACTTTTTATTTATTCATTTTCTTTCCTTTTTTGGTTTGAATTTTCAAACTGCTTGTTCTAATCTGAATTTGACCTAGATTTTACCCGAGTTGAACATGTGTGGAATAAACATTTCATTGTTATAGTTTGGATAATTATTCTATTCGATGTAGAGAAATTCATCTATTGAATGGCAGGTTACGCTCATCATTGGTGTAGCCATGCATGATGTGTCTAGAAATAGATTTATTGAGTTTTGTATTAGCCTACAACCCCAAATTTATGGGGGTACTGCCCCTGTACATAAAGTACTTTGTTTGACCATGGTCCTGACTTAATAAACTAAAGATTATGTACTTTCACTGTTTTACATGCGAGACTCATGAAAGAGATCCACATTTTGATTTTATTGATTACCTCTTTAGAAATGGACAAAGTGTGCCTGTTCCAGATTTTTGATCGATCGACAAATGATCCTTATGTTGTTCTTCAAGTTTTTTCTCCTTTGGAAAAATAACAATGAATTGTGTGTTTCTTTTCCAGAATACAATTACGGAGGGACAGCTGGGGCAACCCAACAGCAGGGGTGAGTAGACTGCTCTGTTCACTCCCCCCAGTTTTCTGCAAGTTAAAATGCTCAATTCTGCAAGTGAAATTAGTGAATTCTGCAAGAAGAAAGGGCTGATTCTGCAGAAATTCCGCGGATATTCGCAGCATTTTTTTATATAATATAAATAACTGTTATTATGTCACCACCAAAAGTGGTGACAATATTGTTATGGTCTCCGTTTTTTTGCGACGGCGTCCGGCGGTTGGTGGTTGGTGGTTGGCGTCCGGCGGTTGGCGTCTGTAACAATTTCTTACAACTTCCTATAACTTAACAAATACTGTTTAGACTGACTTCAATTTTTTTCTAAATCATCTACATGTTCTCAGAAGTTCAAATCTGACTTTAGATTTGACATTTGACCTTCAATGACCTTCTCAAGGTCAAAAAGGTCTTTTTTCAACTTGTTTCACATTGACTAATTTTTTTTTCAAAATCATCTACATGTTCTCAGAAATTCAAATCTGACTTAAGATTTGAGATTTGACCTTCAAATCTGACTTTAGATTTGACATTTGACCTTCAATGACCTTCTCAAGGTCAAAAAAGGTCAAAAAGGTCTGTTTTCAACTTGCTTCAAATTGACTAAATTTTTTTTTCAAAATCATCTACGTGTTCTCAGAAATTCAAATCTGACTTAAGATTTGACTTAGGATTTGACCTTCAATGACCTTCTCAAGGTCAAAAAAGGTCAAAAAGGTCTGTTTTCAACTTGCTTCAAATTGACTAAAATTTTTTTTCAAAATCATCTACGTGTTCTCAGAAATTCAAATCTGACTTTAGATTTGACTTAAGATTTGACATTTGACCTTCAATGACCTTCTCAAAGTCAAAAAAGGTCAAAAAGGTCTTTTTTCAACTTGCTTCAAATTGACTAAATTTTTTTTCAAAATCATCTACATGTTCTCAGAAATTCAAATATGACTTTAGATTTGACATTTGACCTTCAATGACCTTCTCAAGGTCAAAAAAGGTCATAAAGGTCTTTTTTCAACTTGCTTCGAATTGACTAATTTTTTTTTTCAAAATCATCTACATGTTCTCAGAAATTCAAATCTGACTTTAGATTTGACATTTGACCTTTAATGACCTTCTCAAGGTCAAAAAGGTCAAAAAGGTCTGTTTTCAACTTGCTTCAAATTGACTAAAAAAAATTTCAAAATCATTTACGTGTTCTCAGAAATTCAAATCTGACTTTAGATTTGACTTAAAATTTGACATTTGACCTTCAATGACCTTCTCAAAGTCAAAAAAGGTCAAAAAGGTATTTTTTCAACTTGCTTCAAATTGACTAAATTTTTTTTTCAAAATCATCTACATGTTCTCAGAAATTCAAATCTGACTTTAGATTTGACATTTGACCTTCAATGACCTTCTCAATGTCAAAAAAGGTCAAAAAGGTATTTTTTCATCTTGCTTCAAATTGACTAAAAAAATTTTCAAAATCATCTACATGTTCTCAGAAATTCAAATATGACTTAAGATTTGACATTTGACCTTCAATTACCTTCTCAAGGTCAAAAAAGGTCAAAAAGGTCTTTTTTCAACTTGCTTCAAATTGACTAATTTTTTTTTCAAAATCATCTACATGTTCTCAGAAATTCAAATCTGACTTTAGATTTGACATTTGACCTTTAATGACCTTCTCAAGGTCAAAAAAGGTCAAAAAGGTCTGTTTTCAACTTGCTTCAAATTGACCAAATTTTTTTTTTTTCAAAATCATCTACATCTTTTCAGAAGTTCAAATTTGACTTAACAAGTTCTCAGAAATTCAAATCTGACTTAAGTTTGAACTCATAATATTGTGAGCAACTAGGTGGTGACATTTTGTCATGTTAATGCCTTGTTAATTTATGTCTTTGTTTAACTTTCTGACGAGAACCGAAAGAAAAACTAATGGTTTTCGAACCAGTAAACGGGAAAATATCGTGATAGTCAGGTAGTCAGTCACTACATACATGCTGCCATCTAACGGCAGAAATCAAACGATGGCGTTTAGAATTTTCACTTCGCATAATTTGGGTTATTTCTGCAAGGGATTTGACTGAAAACGTGTCAAATTGTTACAGGTAAGACTGACTTTTTAAACTTTTGGAAAATATATGGATTCTGCGGAAAATTCCGCGGAAATTGACCAAAATAGTTGATTCTGCAATTCCGCGGGCAGAGGCAAATTCCGTCCGCGCTCTGCAAACACGGAATCCTGGGGGCAGTGTCTGTTGTAGAAATATACATGTTCCTTTTGATAGTGACTTGAACATTTGAATAGTAAAAACCTGTCAAATTTCTCATTGTTGTGTATGAACAATTATAAAAGTGAAGGAAACACCTAAAATACCTTTCACCAACCAAATTGTTGATCAATATCATAGATAAGGGGCATGTTAGTATTAGGAGTACCACGAGCACTCGAGCAATTCACCTCCGATACGAGCTGTATCGATACATAAAATGAATATCGGTCGTATCGTTTTTTGACCGGAAGTCCCTTCTTACTTACCCAAAGGAAGGGAAAAACTCAGCGCTTAGAGATGACAGACAGTCATAGTTACGTATCTTGCTTGCCGCCTTCGTTTGCCCCTCTAGTTCCCGAATATCACACATTGTTAAGATGTCTTAATCGATGTTAGCATATTTTACACCTTTATTTGTCATGATGTGAAATTAACGTAATTCGGCTGAAGTACTTCCGGCTTTACACGTTTGAAAAATTCAGTTTTACTTCAATTTACGCTGTATCAGTGTATTGTATCGTGAGGTCAGTATCATAGATACGAATCGATATTCAATTTCTCGTATCGCGGTACCCCTAGTTAGTATCTACTCTGAGAATATTGTTGTAATGTACTGATAATTCCCCCTTGTTCTTTGAGGTATGTCCGTTTTAAGAATCCTTGTTAATGTCCAGACGATCATCAAACTTTTATTAATCTATACATTTATTTCATGAATATAAGTATACAGTGAATATACAGGTTTGGACAAATCAAAATTGTTAGGCAGCTAAATTTAGTTGTAACTTATTTATACCCTTTTATATGTGGTCTTCTCTCTTTGAAAGGTATGGGGGTTATTCAGGCTATGGCCAACAACCAGCAGCAGATCAGAGTGCATCTTACCAGCAGCCTGCTGCAGGAGGATACAGCCAGCAAACGGTAAGTTAGTAACATGTAAAATATTACTGTAAATCATTGGTGTAAATATGTTCTTTATGTCAATTTCATGATTATAATTACCTGTTCCAAATTGATGAAATGGACAATATTTTTTAATTTTCATGTTCAAATTGTGCAGCTATTTCAGAATCAAAATATTTTGATGAAAAGCTAACAACTTTTTGTGAAAATGTAGAATTACTGTGGTTTTACTATCCAGCCAATTAGAGATGTTTGGAGTTGTTATCATTTGTGATTGATTCAATGTTTTCCTAACAGTTTGGCATATTATGAATAATAAGCTTCTTAGTGGGTAATAATTAGGTAGCTGGCTACCTGGCTTCCTTAGTATACATCTCTAATTGGCCAATTTTAATTATTACAAACTAACAAAGGAAGCTAAATATGACATCTGTTTATTTAGAAATCAGTATAACTAAGGAACTGGGAGACTGAACATGTTACATTTATAAGAGCTGCGGAAATATAAGATATTGAAGTTTTGTTCCAAATTAAACAAATTCCAAAATACACTTGAAAGAACTTATAGACAAAAAATCAGAGATAAAACTTTTACAAAGTAGTCATTCAAAAGAACAAAACGGACGTAAGTAAAATTGCAACTAAACAAAAGTGCAATTATCAGAGTGCAATACAATAACTTCTATCATGTACCTACAGGCTGCTCCCCCAGCAGCAAGTGGCTATGGACAGCCAGCTCAAACTACAGGTGGTTACGACTACAGTGCACAGACACAACCGCCAGCCGCAGGATATGGACAACAGCCAGCTAGTAATGGGTCTTCTGCTGGTTACGGACAGCAGGCTGCATCAGGCTATGGACAGCAATCCGGGGGTTCATATGGACAGCAGTCCGGTGAGTAGACTCATGAATTTGGGATTATGGAACATACTTATCATAATTCAAGTTTTTATGCACATTTAATGTGATAGCATTTGTTATTGGCTAATATGGTCAGGCGACCTACATTATTTGCATAAAGACTACGTTCTTATATTTGTGAGATTGATTTTGTCTTTACTGGTGTTCGTATTAAATATCACACATGTAGAAGTGATTATTGGCTGTCATAATGATCCAATTTTATTCTTTTCTAGCTTTGAAAACATCAGTTGAATTAATAATCAAAGTGATAAACTAAACAAAGTTCTGGTTTGTAGGATATCTCACTCCTAAGTCCTTCAAGTTTTCTAAGAAATTATTTTTTCTGAGTCAATTTTTAGATTTCTCTGCTATAAGCAAAAACATTAGACACAAATATTGTAAAAGTCATTTATTCAGTCAGAGAAGGACTGTTTGGCAAAAAGGAGAATCAAATATGAGTGAATTTTAAAATCTAGCTCTAATCTTCATTTTAGGGGATGATTTTTATTCGCAAGGTAAATGCATGTATACTTGTTCCATTTGGAACAACCATTCTAGGCGTCCCACAAGCTGTTGTACAGTGAAAATTAATATTAAATTATAGATACCAGTAGAATATATATTTTATATTGGTTGTATTATATTAGACGGTTCTTAGTTCTAAATTTTCACTTGTAAATCTTTGCACATTTTTGCCTATTATGGAGCATACTGTCCATCACTAGGTTGAACTATCCATCAATTACATTGTCTAGTATTTTGGTATTTAAAACTATTGTATGTTGTAGATATTATATTTGTCTTGTTTAACCTCAGGTAAGATATAATTATAAGGGATTTCTTCAAGTATTGTGTATACAAAATTCTTGAAATCAATAGTCATATTTTTGGGGGTGTTATGCTCAAATGTCAACAATCTCAGTGGAAAAACAGTGTTAAAGCTGTAAAAAATTTCAGTTCTTGACAGTTCCGGACAGAAGAAGTTCATTTTCAAATGTCAAAATCCATTCACAACTGTTTAACCTTTGAAATCAATCCATAGTATAAACAACTATTGATTTCAAGTTTAATGCATTCAAAATAGGTGAAAATGAAGGAATAAGACAGCAGAGGTTTGTCATATTTATTAAGAACTTGTGTAACTTAGGTTCAGAATATGAACTTTACTTGGTAGGTAGGCATGTATCATGCAAGGAGTCCAGTAATTGGATTGGTATAAAAAATTTTCAATCATTAATTTTATAACATGTGATTGGGCAGAGAACAATAATGGTTAAAACCCCATCTGTCCCTCATAAATGAATTTGGAAAATGTTGATTTTCTATTCACCAGAAAATCCATATTTTACGAAGTAACTTATGTTCCTTTCCTGTAATTCTAACTATACAATCTCTAAACCTCCATTTGGCATTCATAACTCTTAACCCTACAGATTAAGAAGTATGTCCTGTCTCAATTATTGACCCCCTCTGCTGGGTATTATTTACAGCCCCGCCCACGAGTCAATACGGCCAAGCTCCTTCCCAGGGCTATGGGCAGCAAAGTTACGGCCAACCAGCTGAGCAGAGTGGTAGCTACGGGCAACAACAGGGTGGCTATGGGCAACAAAGTAATGATTTAACGTATAGTTGTATGTAATGCACAAATCAAGCTCTAGTTGATGCATTCATTGGAACTCCGTCGGAAAACTCCACAGATTTAAAAATGAACCATTTTTCAAGGAATGTACTTAAAGTGAATAAAAGTTATTTTCTTTTTCAATTGCTCTAAATTCAGAAAGTGTTCCGTTGAAGAAATGTCAATTTTTTCAAATAATAACTCGACTGCATCATCTATTGCTGGTTTTATGTAGATATGTGATAATGTTAATTTGTTAAAAATGTACAGCTAATGATATCTTCTTATATTTAGATATTTCACAGTTGGTTTTGAGAGTTGCTCTTGATTGTATTGTAACATTGATTTTCAGCCCTTTTCAGAGATCAAAATTGTGATATGAAAAATAATATGATGTAAAATGCTGTAAGGATTTTAATACCATCAGTTGTATACTTAGTCAAAGTATCTTGATATCATGTCAATAAATTCAGGGGTTCATTAGAAGTTTTTTTTTCATTTAGAACTTTCAAAATAAATAAAAAATCAAAAGGCAAAGTTGATGGAATCATTTTTTACTATATAGCAGTTGAAACAAAAGAACATTTAGGTAATGAAAACTTCAATGTAACCCCCTAGATATCCATTTTCTGAGAGATTGAGATCATATCTGAAAAAAAATTCTGAAAAATTTTTTTTACCGAGATTAATTGTCTAAATATATATAATGTATAGAAAAGATGATACCTATATATCATAGGTTGCCTAAATCCTTATAGCACTTACCAGTAAATGCATATGACTATATGTGCATGCGCTTTATTTGGAAATTGCTGGGGCTTATTAACTTTAACATACAATGATAGGGTAAGTTTAACTAGTGTTCATAAGTCTAACCCTTCTTGATTGTTATGTTGTTCCAGGTGGCGGAAGCTACGGGCAGCAGTCACAAGGCGGCTATAACAGCTATGGCTCATCAGATCAGTCAAGCAGTGGCGGTGGATACGGATCAAGTGGCGGCGGTGGTGGTGGCTACCGTGGAGGAAGTGGTGGCTATGGTAACCGTGATGGTGGTAGAGATGGTGGATCAAGAGGCGGTGGTGGCTATGGAGGGTAAGCATCACTTTGATTTTAGTTGAAATTTATATTGAAAACTTGGTAAATACCAGGTTAGTTGATAAGTACTGAGGAAAAAGCTTTTAAATCCAGAATTTTGTGACTTTACTTCATTTTTGGTATATTATGAGTAAAAAAGCATGGTACGGTAATTTGAAAAGAACCTCTGGTTTAAGGTAGCTACATTTGTCACGGACAAATAATATTAAAGGTGATTGGTTGACTGACACGTCCTCATGGTTATTTTTCGCTGTTTCATTTGGTTGGGTCTGCGATCTAAGAAAACTGCTATCAAAATACTGTGCACGAAGTGTGCAGAGTAGCCATCGAATCATTGGTGCCTACCACATTTGAATTAGATAGCAATGTGGGTAGATAGACTAGAAACTGACACATTCAGTTATTTTTCCTTCCTATTGAACAAAAAAAATTCTTGTTTCTGACTTCACTTCAGTCCTTACAATCTTTTATGAATGTTAGCATTTCAACTTTTTTATCATTCCATTAAATTGATCTTTATACAAACACTGGTACATTTATGATATAATTTTCTTTTTCTATTGTCAATTTAACTTAAGGTTTGTTATATTGTTCTCCCCTATGTAAGTCAGTAAATAAAGTAGCCTTTTGCAAAGTATTGATCATAGTCATCATCTTGAATCTTGATAGAAGTTGTGCCAACAAAACAAAAAATTAATTTTTGTCAAGTTGTAATTTCTAGGAATTTCATTCTGAAGGAACTGAACGGACATGCTCATATTGTGATCTCTAAAGTGTAGCCATAACACAAAAATGCTCATCCAATAATTCTATGTGCTCCCTAAAATCCTCAATCAAAAACATAAATCCTGAAAATGTTGAATGGAAATTTGCCAAATCTTATTATGCCGCACCATAAATGAAAATAAAACACTAAAATATTACACAAAAATCACAAAATTTGAAAAGGCAGTCTCAAAAGACAGCAAAATCCTCCCTACAAAAAATCCTAGAACATGTTGCCGCTTCGAGGTGTCAATATTAAAAAGACATAGATACCATTAATCATTTCAGGTATAGCTATTGTTAGGAAATACCTAATGAGTGGTAGACAAAGTTTATCTGCTACTATTTCAACAAAAACGCAAGAGTGTCTAAGTAAAATTATTGCAATCTGGGCAGTGCTTAAACTAAGCTGATTGGTTCAACTTATACCAGAGTGGTGTTTTCACCACCCAGTATTGCTGTAGAGAAACACTGGTATATTTCTATTAGCAAATGTGTCATAAAAAGAATCCAACTTCAAGATTAACATGGGTATGAGTAACATATTAAAAGCAAAGAAATACATCTTTACAGCACTAGAGCGAAACCCTATGCATTTATATCTACATGTAGGTTGAATAATGAACTTGTGTTAGCCAAACAATAGAAGTGTTCAAAGCAATTGGCTGAAATGAAACACTTGCTTTCCAATAAAGAGAATATCATGGGTATAGGTCGAACAAATAATGGTGTTAGAATACCTTTATACGTATGCATGTTAATCTGATCACATATATTTGGTGTAAATGAAGATTTAAAAATGATATAGATTTTCATACGACTAATGGTGAAAGTTATAATTTACTTTTGTGTCTAACTATTAAAATACACTAGAAAACAACAACGAGACACTATAATATTACTGCAAATTTAAACATATGTGGATTTAACACAGGTAATAACAAAAAATTAACAATCCACAAACAATATGGTGACTACATCGACATAATTGCATATTGTTTACTGTCAAAGTAAAGATACGAAATAGCTAGGTGTTAAAACAAAAACAGTAATGCGTTTTATTGGTTGGTTCTTTTCAAAATGCTGTACCATGCTTGTAAGGTTTATAAAAGTGTAAGATGTGAATCTAAAAAAAGAAATGGGGAGTTAGGCATATTATACAAAAACTACAGAAAGGTGTATAGTTCTAACACAGTTACTTTTTATTATGACTTGTTGTTATTATATATATATTATCATATCTCTATTTATATGTGTTATTTACCAATGGTTCTATTTCTTCACAGGACTCAGATACAACAAATAATGATGCACAGGTTAACATCTGTGTTTTAAGGATTCTTTAAATATAAGAAAAATCAAATATTTGGGGGCATTCTTAGAATGGGTCATATTCAAAATTGAACCGTATTTTAAAAATAGAGGGGATATTTAAAGACATGATTATTAGGCCAATAGGATATTTAAAAGTTGGGTATAGGATTTTGAAAATTCTGAAACTTTGCTTGTTGAGATCACATTTCGGCAGTGAAGTTCTGGGAACAACAAAATTCAAGTTGATGACACATTCATTAAAACATTTGATGATTTTATTCTTGGGATACCAATTTTTCTTCTTATAAAGAAACAAGGGTCGATGTGCGATTAAGTGACACAACTCTTGAAAAACTATAGTTGGCAGAGGGAAATAGAAAAAAGGGGAATGTAACTGTTTTGCATGGTTTCGAATGTATTAACGCAATGCAATGCATTTAATTGCAAATCAGTCTTAGTTGAAAGGTTGTGGTGTACCAAGTCGTTAAATGGATGACCTCATAATGCATAGGATGACATCATAATACACAGAAGATAATGAAGAAACCAGCAACTTTGTTTATCCTGAGAATCAAAACACTCCTAGTTTCACATACTCAATACTTTAGCATCTGTAAACAATGAATCGTGAATGTATAATGTACAAGTTGTGCAGTGTAATGATTGAATTATGCAATTCTGTGACCAAGTTTTGCAGTGCAATAACTTGGTTATGGTGTTCAATGGCCAATTAGTGCAAATAACGATTATGGAATTCCACAAAATGAAAGCTCAGATTTTCTTTTAAAAATTACTGCTACTAGCTGTTTGATCAAAGTTTAAAGGAATACAATATTTGTTGTGCATACATTTTAGACCTGCCAAATATTATTAAGTAACGTAAAAATGAATATATTTTTTGGGTTTTTTTTGAAACATGAAATAGATTCATTTTTGTATGACTTGACAATAAAGACCAACTATGGTAATGTATGCCACTTTGGTAATGACCATATTTGGTTGCATTGAGTGATTCAGTTTTTACAGATGGTAAACTAATGATATAAGACTTGACAGTTATTGTTCCTTTGAAGGGGCCTGAATTAAGACCCCTTGTATTGAGTATATGAAACTAATGAATGTGTATTTACAGTGGCGGTCGAGGGGGCTACAACAAATTTGGTGGTAAGTCAGTGTAACATGGTACACAGTTATTACTTTTTCTTGAACAGCCCTTGTATGCTAAAAAAGCTGTGTTGATATTGTATATATTTGAATGCATTCATTGGGAGAGAGGTCACAAAGTAAAAATGTGGAAGTAAAGTGCTTCAAAATGGAGAATTGATGTGAATCAATAGGAATATAAAGATAAACATAGTGGTTTAAGATTGATCCAAGAGTTTAACCATGACATGTGGTTATGAAAATGAGTGTATATAAGATACAGTGTAAATAGTGGTTATTTCGGAAACATCTAAAAATGAAAACATATGTATAACATAGGACTACATAGAACAGAGAAAAACAATCTAAATATATTGCTATATACTGGAACCCATCGACCAAGTAATAATATACATTTGGACTTGAAGTATTATGAAGACTCCGTTACCAAGGTAATCTGCAATATCAGAATTTGAGTGGTTGCACTTAATCATTAATTTGATACAGCAAGGTTGAACAATTTTCGCCGTGAGTTATCTTTCGAAAATGGTAAAATGGCCTATGATTATATACCTAGAAGTCAGATGTTCTATGGTGATCACCTTACCTACAATGAGGCCATAAATGAGGTCACATGACCAAGAATAATGAACTGAGATTGGTCAAATAATGTCACATGACCATAAATAACAAAGTTTGATTGGTCAACTCCTTGTACAAGTACAATGAGTCAACTCTATAATACATGTGTATGGATTAGCTATGCTGTAGAGCACTTACTCAGACCTACTTTACCCGATGGACTAGGAAAATTGGGGTGTTCAATTGGATACTATGTATACAGAAGAACAAGGGGTTCCGTGCCAGTCATATCCAAAATAATGTTCATGGGACCAGAAACTAGAAACTGTAGGTGATACTGACTAGCTAATACTGATCCAATCTGTGCAATATGACCAGTTCCTGTGTATGTTATTCATGGCTTCGAAATATGGTAGGTATTGGTTACCTAATTGATGGTAAATAAAATACAAAACAGGAGGGAAATGGGACAATTCAACATGAAATCTCTGAATTATTCAGATCAGTGTGTCTTATATAGTGTTACGGATATTACAAACATTGGTGTTCCAGAAGATGTGATGAAAATGTTTGATAAGTTACCAGTGTAGCAGTAAAAAAAATAGTAACATAAAATTGATGGTAGGTTATCCTCTCTCCCAGAATGCAATGTACCATGTAGTGTTAATTGTGTAACTATGGCAACATTCACAGTTTGGGGAAACATAAAAATGGTCGTGAATTCTGAAATTATAGGATTAATCCGGAGGAATGTAACCAAAATCTACGGTGGTTTTCAAATACAACATCTTAAAAAGAATCATTTATAAAAAAAATAATAATTAAAAAAATCATTTATAAAACAGCTAAAAGGGTGTAGATGTAAAAAAGTTATAAACGAGTAATCAACAATGCCTTTTCTATAAAATTAGGTTTTAGGTATGAATTTACTCTGGACGATAAATAACAATTTTAAATATCATTAGCATCATGGTAAACCATGACATCTCATTTCTTATCATCCATGAGATGCCATGGTAATATAGGTAGGAATTGAACATTGATGTGCTTTGAGATCTCAGCTTTGTTTCATCAAATTATGGGTCATAGTCGAGCTTGTTCCCTTGCTAATATCTAATTGCAGCAACAAAAGAGTATAATACTTCCTATGTGGCCATTCAGGCATTACAAGGTGACTTGCAATATCAGAGCCTTTTTAAGCTGCAAAGTGACTAAAAAGTAAATCGTTTCATTCACAGGATTGAGTAAATCTTAGAAGAATAGCTTTACACAATTCTATGTCAAATTATGAAGTAAAACAATACAAAGATAAAGGTGAAACTGAAAACGCATGTATGAAGAATAAAGCCTAAACAATGCAAAATGAATAAATTTACATGATAAAATTGAATATTATACATCTATATAGTAGTATAATTACAAGTGCTATAATACTAATGGTTAACTAATTCAGTTGTATAGATATATAAAGGTACTTCATCGAAATACAATGGTTACAATATACTATAAGAAACCGTTAAATAAATAGTCCAAGGTGTGCAATTCATTTAAAGCGTGGGTACATTATAATAGGAATCCATTAAATTTGTACAAAAAAAGTGATGCATAATCCATTTAAATTGAGTACAAGTGTTTGTACATGTAATTCATTAAAATTTGGCAGTTACGATATAATATAGGAATTCATAAGACTTGTACAAATATACTTAGGTGTGTGGTAAATACAAGTGAGGGTACAATTTTAATTTTAATATTGGAATTCATCAAAAGTTGCACAGGTATAAACTAAGGGTATGTGATTCATTAAGATTTTCTGGTTTCAATATGATAAAGGAATTCATCAAGTTCTATGTAAATGTGTAATTCATTATAATGCGACAGTGAAAAATAATATATGTATTCCTCAAAGTTATATAAATGGATGAAGGTGAACGATTCATATAAATGTGGGTAATCTATAATCTGATAATATATATAATACATGATTCAACCAAATATCTTATGATATATATATATATATATATGACAAGGGAATTCATTAAATTGTATAGATAAACAAGGTATTTAATTCATTAAAATATCTATAGCCGCTAGCGGTTACAATAAAAAAAATAGGAACTCCACAAGAAATATATCTAAAACTTTCATGAAAAAGTTGACAGTTACAATGTAGTTCTAGGAATCATCAGAACTATATAAATGTACAAAGGTACATAATTCTTTAAATTTTGTGGTTACAAATTTACGATACGATATAGGTTATTCCTTATAATTTGTGGTTGTGATACCATCAAAATATGTTAATCATTGATATTTATAGGCCGTTAGACTTAAAGAACTAAATGATCAGTATATTATTTAGAATATTCAACTGCAATTCATCAATGGAAAACATTAAATGGTATATTATATAAAAAGTGTATATGGTAAATGATCGTAAAAAACCGTAAAATGATATAAGAAACGTAAAATGGTAATCTAAAAATCGTAAATAATGCAAAAAGCGTAAAATGGTAAAGATGTTGCTTTTACCGACCACCCCGCGAGTATACATTTTGGGTAGAGTAATCCAATGTATGACATCTAATTTCTCTTATTTTGGGGTAAAATTTACAACACTGATCATGACAAGTAGATTTGTATTGATCAAAAATTAGTGTACTTTTACATCAAGTATTTGATATAATACTGGGGTTGTTAACCATATTGCCAAATACAAGGAGCAACTGGCACATTTTGTTTGTAAATGTCTGCCGTTGAACCTTTTGTTGGATCCTGCATGTTTCAAAATAATTATTTTATTAAGTACTACTCTCATGTATGACTTTTATATAAATTGTTTGTAAAACTTCAGCAAAATTCTAGACCTGGACCATTATGAAGTATATTGGACTGAAGGCCTATATATGGAAATATATGGTACTAAAGACCATATATGGAAATAAATGGTACTTAAGACTCATGTATGGAATTATATGGGACAGAAGTCCAATATATTGAAATATTGTGTTGATTTTGGTGGACAATTTTATAATTTCAAGTATGATGTCATCATAATATCACGTTTTTGGCTCGAGTACAATATTTAGACGATCATCTTTCAAATGAAATGAAATTTCATATTTGACATCATATACAACTATGACATTGTCCAATGTTTCGCTATTTCCATGGTGATGAAAACTAATGGTTGTTGTATGTATTGTGTTGCTAGGAGGTGGAGGTGGGGATGACAAACCAGAGTTGGTGCAACAACCAGACACAGTGTTCTGTCAGAACCTGCCATTAGATGTTACGGAGAAGCAGCTGGAAGAGCACTTTGGCCAAATTGGAGTCATTAAGGTATATTAAAGAAAGTGGAGCATACAGTGCATTACTTCTGGGACAACCCTCGTATATGAGTAGTTTTATATACAGGGTGTCCATAAAGTCTCTACAGTTTCATTACAAATTTGTATTGCAATTGACTTAATGACGCCCTGTATTTGAATGGTTTACATTCTTTAGTAAGGGGTAATCCTTTGATCAAACATTTTCTCATCAGAACTGTTGTCTCAGAATTCCACACTCCTTGTATGTTTGACAACTAATAAAAATCTGCAAAATAAAATGAACTCTCTCTCTCAATAAAGGTACACATAGATAAACATTAAGATTATTTGTGAGAACCATTTAAGCCTCAACGGTCCTCTAAAACTGAAAAAGCAATTCAGAAAAAACTATAGACCTTTACAATACACACCTCTTTGGCTTAATTTAAATAGAAAACCAGAATATTATGGCTCAAGTCATATTTCCCTTTACTGTAGGTGGTAAAACGTTTAAAAATTAGTAGGGTAAACATTTTGCCAATTTTGATCAACTTACAAAATCATGAATCTACTATATATTCACTTTTTGTGTAGTAATGAATATGCATCATGTTAAAAAGTGTGATTTGTAATTTGTAGACTGACAAGAAGTTGAATAAGCCAAAGATCTTCATTTACAAGGACAGAGAGACAGGCAAGCAAAAGGGAGAGGCCACCATCACATACGATGATGAAGAGGCTGCAAATGCAGCTATTAACTGGTTCCACAGTAAGTATTGTGATTTCGTCACCACCACAAGTGGTGACATATTGTTATTTTGTCACCACCACAAGTGGTGACATATTGTTATTTCGTCACCACCACAAGTGGTGACATATTGTTATTTTGTCACCACCACAAGTGATGACATATTGTAGATTTGCCAACTTTTTTGTGGACAACCGTCCGTGTTAGAGGGGCATTGTCAATAAAAGGCAGGTGGTGACATTTTGTATGTTAATGCCTTGTTAATACCTGTGTGGTAGATGTCCCTCATCAGTACAAATAAAAGTATCGTGCAAGTAATTAGAATGACTCCTTTGATGATTGATCTCTTTGTAGCAAAACTGGGGCAGCATTGTACAGGGAAATATTTCATTTTGCTAAATTGCATCAAAAGAATTGCTTCCAAGAGAATTTTCCAAAAATAAATTGCTCAAATAAAGGATTGGATTGACACTTGTCATTGCAGAATTCAGTTTAGTTTCATTGAGCTGTACATGATAGTTGAATTAAGTGTTACTTCTATTACTCACCCCTTGCTTCAATACTGTGGAGATCAGAGCCCTCTGTGTCCAGTGATGTGAACTAAATGCTAAGAACCCGCCACAACCAAATACCTTTTCAAAAGCTTTTGTAAATTATGATTTCCTTTAGTTGCGTTATTCTGTTCTTATTTCTACCTGCTCAACCCATCCCTTCTATCTCCTTTCACCGTCTTAATTCCATCCCTTCTATATACTCAACTTTGGTATTAGGTTGTGTTGGGGTTCAATGAAGCTGTGATTATGAGAGCTGAGGACACTGCATATAGTAACCCCTAAGAGTCCAAGAGAGATTGAACTTATGATAATTGATGTTACTTCATCATGGGGCTAATCCGACCATGGGATTATATCAACCATGGGATTATATCGACCATGGGATTATATCGACCATGGGTTATATCGACCATGGGATTGTATCGACCATGGCTGGTGATTCATATTGCCTGTGGTTGGTTGTTCATCTTAGATTGTCGGGAGATTTCAATTTTTTTAATTTTCAAAAGCAATCATGGCAACTTCGTGAATTGAAAATATAACCCAAGGTCAAAGAAGCTCCAGGATGAAGTAACCCCTAACATTAAGTTCAACGAATGACACTTCAAGGATAATGAATTTCTTACAAATAAAAAGTTTAAATAAGTTACCACCATTAAAATCCAACATGAGTTTTAGCTTAGTCCTATTATAAAGGTGTCAACAGAACCATCCAGAAAGTAGTTCAGATCCAAGCCTTTACAAAATCTGCTGTTTTTTTAAGCAGGCAAATAAGCTAATTAATTAAAATGTTATTGTTGAATCCTGTTGAATTTCATTGTTGATATTCTAAAGGAATCCTGCATTTAGACTGGAATTTTACTGAAGTTAGATCAACAGCTATAATCTTTAATTTGTATACTCTACTCCAGACAAAGATTTCCGAGGACAGACAATCCGTGTGATGATTGCCAGGCGTAAAATGAACAACAACTTTGGCGGTGGTGGCTTCAGAGGAGGACGTGGTGGCGGTGGTGGTGGTTTCCGTGGTGGAGATCGTGGCGGAAGAGGAGGCGGTCGTGGTGGTGGCGGCGGCGGAAGTGGCAGAGAGGGAGATTGGGATTGTTCCAACCCAGAATGTGGAAATAACAACTTTGCTTGGAGGAATGAATGTAATAGGTGTAAATGTCCCAAAGAAGGAGGTGCAGGAGGTGGTGATGGAGGTATGAGAAGATTACATGTAAAACCTGAACATACAAATAAGATTGTTCTATTATATGAAGTGAATTATGAAGTTACGTGAAGATTACATGTAAAAACCTGAACATACAAATAAGATTGTTCTATTATATGAAGTGAATTATACTTGTTATGTGTAAAATATTTTATGAAAAACAAGACTTTTAGAAATCTATAGAATGCATTATTTAGTTACAAAAAAATTTCTCTAAAATATTTATGTTTTCAAATGTGTAGAAATGATCACCTGTTCTGTATGAAAAAATGAAACATTCTCGGGTTTCAAGCAAATTTTAGAGCCAGGGATTCAAGATGTTAACTGGACTGATAAGAAAAACATCTAATTTGCTTTCAGGCTACAGAGGTGGACGTGGTGGCGGTGGATTCCGTGGAGATAGAGGAGGCAGAGGTGGTGGTTTTGGTAAGATTTTACAAAAGTTTCTGATATTGTCAACATTTTTTTTAATCCCCATCTGTCAAAAAATTCTATAGAATATTATTGACTTCTTATATTGTTAGCAGGTACACTCCAGTCATTAAAAAGTATTATGTACATGAACACTCATATAAAAGTATTATGTTCATGTAAACTTACAAAAGCACTAAATACATGTTCACTCATACAAAAGTTTAAAAATATGCACAAATTTTAAAAAAGTTTTATATACATATAAACATGAAGATTGAACACCGTATAAAAAGTATTATATACATGTGCATCCTACCAAAGTTTTTTAGTAACAAATGTATTTATTAATGACATAAATATTTCAATCTACTTATATGTGTGTTTCTTGTTTCAGGAGGACGAGGTGGTGGTCGTGGAGGTGGTAGAGGATTTGGTGGAGATAGAGGAGGACGGTAAGTTTATAATTGATGAATCAATCTGTCATTAGAGATCTCGGTGTCTGATAAACAGCAGGAATTAGCCATTTTCTCTCATATTTTTCCCAATAAATTACGCTTTTCTGGGAAATTGTGTAATTGTTTCAATTTTGATATCAACAAGGTTTATGATGAGTTGCAACATAGGTGGCAGTTGGTTCAAGTGAATTTGAAAACTGTAGTCTGTTGGACTTCATATTGATCTTCATTTAGTCAAAATTTAAAGCAAAGTGGAACATCTTATACAATCGTGGGATTTACCCAGATCATTTCCTGATCAATCTATCTTTGAAAAAAAAATCAAATTCATTTTTCTTTTTCAGTGGCGGACGTGGACGACCTGGACCATATTAGAAGGAATCAACCTTGACAAACATACTACATTGTACATAGACTCTTAATAAATATCACTCAGCTTTGGATATGGACTTCTCCCCTTCAATAAGATATGAACATTATCTCCCACTGGGATTATCTTATATCATTAGTACAATTTGGATATCAGTCGATGAAGTTTTGAAAATAGAGGAATGTAACATGTCATTCCAAACAGAATTTTATGAAATGTCATTAGAAAAGGGAGATTAACTTTATTTTTGTATTTGCAAGTATCTCATTTTGTAAAATATGACTCATGATTTCTCTTGATAGTAGTTCCAATTCAGATTCTATTTATATTGTATATATTCTTCAACTTTGAGTAATGTATGCTGGACTGACATACCACTGTCTTCTTATTGTGCTTATTGAAAACAAGTCATTAAAATGTTATTAACAACAGTGAATTTTAAGTCTTAATAATTCTGTGTATAAAAATGTCATTTTTCACTTTCTCTGTTGAAATGTACTTCGGTAAATTTTTCGTCCCCTATTTGTACCTTAGATAATGCGGTTCAGCCATTTCCCTGTTTTATTGTATAAAATTGTAATATTGTCATGTTTTAGTGAAATACATAGATTTTATAATAAAACGAACTAGTAATTGTGTTTTGAGATGTTTATATTTTGAGATAGTACAAAAGTATAGACGGCCCATGAGAATTTAACCTAGAATGGAACTTGATTAATGAAAATGTTCCGAGATTTCATTCTTGTCATAACTTACAAAGGATTTTAAAGTTAACTCAAAATTGCTTAAGGATTTAAGCTCTGGATTAGCTGAAATTGGACACACCTTGTCTAGCTATGTGTGAATCTACTTTAGTCATGTTAGTTTTCATATTGAACACAGATTTATGGTTCGGATTTTGTGATTGAATCGGACTGGCAGATCGTAAATCGAAACTAACGCAGTGCTGCTAATGGATTTAACCATACAATTTAGCATCCTCCTAAGCAGGTGTCCAGAATTCGTACCTCCTTCCCCCCCCCCCCCCTGCTATAACCAATTTGGAAGCGCCCGATTTAACTGAATCACGTGATCTAATTATGCGCAATGACTTATACCAAGGAGGATTGGCTCCCAGAATGCAACAGTGGCTATTTTTACCCAAGGTTAAAATGGCTTAATTCTATAACAGCCAATCAAATCAATTCCCGCCAAAATTTTCTTCCTTTGGCGGGTTTTCTTTTATCGTCAGTACGTAAGCAAACATCAAGGTGTTCACACCTATTCATTTTTTACAGGTAAAGTAATTTGAAATTTTGTATCTTTCTTTTGTAACCAAATAGAGTGAATTTCAATCGTTTACTTCCCTTTATATCAAATACGAACGTAATTTAAAAATGTACAAATATATATTTTCTTGCTTCAGACATGGATGTAAAACTTTTTGAATTTTCTTCCAAAAAGAAATTTCATTATTCCGGAATGTCAATTTATGTATAATAAGAATATTGTTTGATATGAGTACGTAAGCAAACATCAAGGTGTTCACACCTATTCATTTTTTACAGAAATGATTCACACTGGTACGACGGTAAGACGGCGGTACGACGGCAAGACGAAATAATCGAGTTTGACATTTAGAGCCATAAATACGAAACTAATTCACAAAAAAAATGGCCACACTCAGAGAAAGAAACAATCCGATAGACTATAAAAAACTCAATTCCCAAGGGAAAGACGAAACTGATGTAAAAACGGTAACAGAAGGTGAAAATAAAGAACCAACTGCAACTACAGGTCTCCCCGCTCCTTTACCAGAAACGCTAGACGAACAAATAGCGAGAAAGAGACGGGAAATCGAAAAGAAGAAATTACAAATCCTAAAAAATCTCGAAGAAGAATCGAGTCAAATTGACGAAGACATACAAAAATCGTACCAGACATCCAGAGACACACAAGAATCTGATTCCAACGAAGGGGCTACCGATACCGATACCAAGAAAGCCAGACGAAATGAAATAGCACCGGGGCTACATAGGAATCCTACAACAAAGTACAATAGTTCCAACAAAACCAAAGGTGATACAACTAAGCAGAGACAATTGAACATTCAAACATTAAGAGGTATGCAGCGACTACAAGATGAGGTTAGCCAAAAACTAGTACAGATCGCTCCAGGTTTCCAGAAACAATCAGAACTCACAAAGACTGACGAGACCAAGAAGAATAAAGAAAAGAAGAAACAAAAAGTCAAAGACATTGGTTCCAAGAAAGGTAAAAACATTTCATATAAATGTAAATCAAGTAAAAAATCTTTTACATCATCTGAATCTCTTTCAACCACAGAATCAGAGTCCAGTGAATCAGAATTTGAAACAAAATCATCTGATTCTGACACTTCTAGTTCTTGCAGTTCAAATCATTCCAAAGATTCAAAAAAGGTCAAAAGTAAATCCAAAAAGAAAAAGAAAAAATCCAAGTCAGGCATAAACCAGACAAGATCTAACTCATGCCAAAATCCACAAAAGTACCCGCACATTGGGTTGAAATACGAATTTTCAAGAATGAAAATTAAGTATAACGATTTAGACATTAATCTTTTCACAGCAGGAGCTTTGAATCTATTGGTGAAAGAGATTGAGAATCATAGCATTTCAAAGAGAGAATTGTTAGTCCAACTGAAACATATTATTGAACTGATGTATATCAACAAAAGGGGATATCCTTGGCATCAGGTGCGGAACTTTCATGCAAATATACTCAGTGAAATTGAAGCAGGTGAAATGACATGGGGTGATGATACCACCCACATTTTCAGCCATTTGTCTGTCAATAAAAAACAAGTCAGCAATAATACTTCAGTTCACACGGGTCAAAGGATCAGTTGGTATTGTGTAGAGTACAATAGAGATAATTGCAATGAAAGTTCTGCACACATGTCAAAACTACCAATAAAGGGACAAACAAGGTTGTTAGAACATATTTGTTCAAACTGCTATGTACGGGACAAAACCAAATCCAATCATTCAAAATTAAAATGTACACATCCTAATGTGTCTTACACAAATTATCCGAGTAAGTAGGGCAAATTCGGATTTGGCTTTGTTCCAGACACATAGCAATGTCTTGTTAGATTCATTACCAGATAGTAGTTCAAGTGACGATTTTACACACAGTTTTATTAAGACAGACATGCATACAACAACACAAGATACACAACATTCATCACAACATAGCAATGCTTTGTTAGATCCACTACCAGATAGTAGTACTAGTTACGATTTTACACACAGTTTTATTAAGACAGACATGCATACAACCACGCCAGATACACAACACTCATCACGACTAGATTTTAAATGTCAGAAACGTCACAATTTTGACCACAACACAACGCACAATTTTTTAAAACACAAAGACAGTGTAGTAGATAGTTGCAATTTAGGGCAACATCCCACAGAGGAAAGAAATCCTCAGTACATAGTACACAATGATTTGTCTCATAAAAAGGCAAACTACACGCATGACAAGCAACACAATTTTATTATAACACATTTTCAAGAGGAATCAAAACCTCACAACCACATACCATTCCCAATCACACCCACAGACTTAAAGTCGGCAATTCCAGAATGGCCACCACAGTTAAGTCAAAATGCTAACGAGTATTTAGAAATGCATAAACAAGTTAGTCAGACAAATCAATTCAATTACATAGAGGCTAGGAAATCACTCAATACCCCTTTAAATATTCATGAATGGAGGGAAGGTTTAACTAATTATCATGACAAGGAAATAGTTGAATTTTTGGAATTTGGATGGCCATTAGGGCATAAAGGAGTTATACAACATAACTCAAATCCTACAAATCATGGCAAAGCACACTCCTTTCCTAATGACATTGACAAATTTATCTCTAAAGAGGTTAAGTTAGGAGCCACTGTAGGTCCTTTCAAAGAAAACCCTTTTGACCATAAAGTTCTCGTATCTCCGCTAAATACTGCGGAGAAGAAAGAATCCAAAAATAGAAGAACTATAGTAGATTTGAGTTTTCCACCAGGTAAAGGCATCAACGACGGAATTGAAAAAAATTCCTATTTGAATGAAGAATTTCAACTCAAATTACCAACTTCTGAAAATTTCAGTTCTTTAATAGTCAAATTAGGCAAGAATAACAGCTCTATGTACAAAATTGACCTTAGTCGAGCATATAGACAAATCCCAATTGACCCTTTAGATTACGATAAGGTAGTTTATGTGTGGAGAGATCAATTATTCTTTGACAGAGTTGTACCGTTTGGTCTTAGATCAGCTGCAATGATGTGTCAAAGAGTTACGGACGCAGTTAGATATATATTTCAAAATCAAGGTTTTCAAGCATGCAACTATTTAGACGACTTCGGAGGAGTAGAAACCCCAGGTCAAGTAGACGATGCTGTAGCCAGTCTCAAAGAAATTCTGAAAAGATTAGGCTTACGAGAGTCAGAGGAGAAGTTTATATCTCCTAGCTCAAATATGACCTTTATAGGAATTTTGTTCAGTTCTACCAGTATGACTATGTCAGTAACTCCAGACAGGTTAATTGAGATAGATGCAATTCTAAAGCTCTGGCTAAGTAAAAAATCTGCTACAAGGAATGAACTAGAACAACTGTTAGGAAAATTGAACTATGTTTCAAAATGTGTCAGGGGTAGCAGAGTTTTTATGAATAGACTCTTTGCGCAACTTAGAAAGCTCGAAAGACGCAATCACAAATTTAGGCTTTCAACACAGTTCAAAAAAGATTTAAACTGGTGGAAGACATTCTTAGTTCAATATAACGGCGTAACAGTCATCCCCGAAACTGAATGGAGAAAACCTGATCAGTTAGTATCCACTGACAGTTGCCTTGTAGGCATGGGAGGATACACTTCTCATGAGTATTATACTACTGTTATACCTGAGTACATGCAATGTGACAAAAATTGGCATATTAATGCATTGGAACTTTTAGCTATACTTCTAGCATGCAAATTATGGGGAGCTCTGTGGAACAGAAACAGAATACAAGTGTTTTGCGACAATCAGGCTTCGGTAGATGTATTAAATTCTGGAAAATCAAAAGATTCCATCATGCTCAAAATTTTGAGAGAAATCAGTTTCCTAGCTGCTTGCAACAATTTTCAAATCCGAGCTGTACATATTGAGGGTGTTAACAATAGAATTTCCGATCATTTGTCTAGATGGTGGGAAGCCCCAATACATAGAAACACAGCAATCAAGTTACTAGGTAATAGAACAAGAAGATATGTTTCTGATAATTTAATCAAACTTAATGAGTTTTGGTAATTTTAGGTGAAAAACTAGAACTAGAAGAGGAAGTTAAAGAAACCATGAAACAAGCCTTTGCGAGTGGTACATGGAAAAATATCAAGACACAATTCAGGTCCTTTTTATTGTTTTGCATGTACTATGGTCACAATTTTCTACCAGTACAGCTAGATACCTTGTTGGTTTATATGCAATTTTTGAGTAGAACATTCAAATCTGTAGATAGCATTAAAAACTATGTACAAGGAGTCAAATTGCTACATCAGTTTAATAATGTCAAATTTCCTAATTTACAAGAAAGCCATGAATACAAATTACTTGTCAGGGGTTTAAAAAGAATCAAACCACATACAGTGAGAAAAGCATTACCAATTACACCGGAAATTCTATTACATATTTTCTCAATTATTGAATTTAGTAACCATGAAGATTCAACTTTTTGGTGCCTTTTGATCACAGTAGTCTTAACTTTCACTAGAGTAGGAAACATATTGCCTAGGACAGCAAAACAATTTTGTCGAAATAAGCACTTACAAAAACATGATATTTTTATAGGTGAAAATGGAATCTTTGTATTTTTCAAACATTCTAAAACAAATCAAAATGCAGAAAGAATTTTGACCATTCCGATAATTTCAAAACCGGGTTCCCCGCTTGATATTTTGGCAGCTCATAAGCATATGAACAGTTTTAATGTCAAGTACAAAACCTCGGAAAATGATCCTGCCTTTCTTTTGCCCAGTAGAAATAATAAGCTCACAACTTACACCACTACTTCTTTCACAGAAAAACTTAGAGAAAAACTCCTTTGTTTAGGATATAATCCAAGGTTATATAGTGGGCATAGTTGTAGGAGGGGAGGGGCAACATGGGCATTTAGAGCCAATATACCAGGGGAATTGATACAGAATCATGGCGATTGGAAGTCAGATGCTTATTTACAATACTTAGACTTTTCATTAGAAACTAAAATTTCTGTGAGTCAACGTATGTTAAAAGAATTTTAACATTTAGCATAGGCTTATTTTATTATGCAATACATGTATGTGTTCTTGACTTGGCGGCTTGGCGGTTAAATTGAAGCTCGTACACCATAGGATATGGGTGTTTCACACCTTTTACTTTTCCATGCTAAGGGAATATGTCCCTGCTGGGTATTTCAGTTTCACAATTTTTCAACATCAGTAACCTATTGTGTACGAGCATCACAGCTAGCGCCAAATTTTATTTTATTTTATTATGTTATTAGAATAAGAGTTATTTTATTTTTGTAATTTTAAGTTTTGTATTTTAAGTTGTTATTTTAAGTTTGTATATTATGTTGGTGATTACTTTCATTAACAAATAAATAAATCATGAAATGTCTAATAATAAAGACGTTAAAAATAAAATAATAATTGTGTCATTTTCATGTGGTAATTTATTGTCTCTCAAGTAGAATTTACTTTGTGAGGTTGTGAAATGAATTGTGGCTATTTTTACCCAAGGTTAAAATGGCTTAATTCTATAACAGCCAATCAAATCAATTCCCGCCAAAATTTTCTTCCTTTGGCGGGTTTTCTTTTATCGTCAGTACGTAAGCAAACATCAAGGTGTTCACACCTATTCATTTTTTACAGGTAAAGTAATTTGAAATTTTGTATCTTTCTTTTGTAACCAAATAGAGTGAATTTCAATCGTTTACTTCCCTTTATATCAAATACGAACGTAATTTAAAAATGTACAAATATATATTTTCTTGCTTCAGACATGGATGTAAAACTTTTTGAATTTTCTTCCAAAAAGAAATTTCATTATTCCGGAATGTCAATTTATGTATAATAAGAATATTGTTTGATATGAGTACGTAAGCAAACATCAAGGTGTTCACACCTATTCATTTTTTACAGAAATGATTCACCCACCACACCCACACCAGTTTTCCTCATTTAAATTGTTAGAAGGATTGGCTCCCAGAATGCAACACCGATATTCTGCAAAACAATCACCTAGCGATAGCTTTGTTGGAGAGTATCGGGTCATTCTCCATGCAGTCGTACAAATTATACAGACACGAATAGCAAATGACGCATGCGTGGAGATTAAAGAATATCGAGTTGGAACCCTGGCTTCCAATCCTCCTTGGACTTATACATAATGTCTGTCGCAGGGTTGCGACAGCCGGCAATCAGATTGCGAGTTCTTAATCGGGGAAAATGCTAACTGCTTAGCAGGGGGTAAAAAGAAAGAATATATACTGGATTTTGAAGCCCTATGATCGGAGAATGACAATTCTTATCTTTATTCAAAAATTAGCTATATGTAGTTTTATATTGTCGTCTATGAACGTATTTTTAATAATCCACCTGCCAATGAGCTCCTCACATCGTCAAAACATTCGGGAAACATTAAACTGCCACAAATTGACACTGACAGTGAACATTTTAAAAAATTCATAAATTGTGCTTGAAATAGAGCGATCTTCATGATACACATTTCATTCATACTCGATCTATCAAATGTGAATATTCTAAGAAGGTATTTTCCGATGAGTGATTTTGATATAATCGTAATACGTTTAACCAAATAAAGACATTTGTACTTTTTCTTATTTAAGAGCAATTATTGTGGCAATACGCTTGCTGCATAAAATGTACACAAGATCCGTGCAATTCTTGTTGAAAACAGACAATTAACATGATTAAGTCAAAAGTTAGAGGTGACAAAAATACAACTTTTAATATTGCATGATTTATCCAAAACTAGCCTTCTTCACTCTGATAATATAGCTCCCAGTCATTATATTGCTATCCCTATATAGTTTTCTGGC